TATATATATACATACATATATATATATATATATACATATATACACATACATATATATATATATACACATACATATATACATATATACATACATATATACATGTATATATATATATATATATTAACATTAGTAACAGGGAAAAACATTCATTTGTATATGTCAAGCCATAATCAAATTATTAAGAGTGTTGTATATGATTTCCAAAAGGGAGCTGATCATTTAAAATTAATGATTTTAATGACAATGTTATTTTTCCAGCAGTTCAGTTGTTTTGGCAGCTTTCTTATTTAATGATGAGCAGACAGATTCATAAGAAAGTATCAAGTCAATACAAAATGTTCTAAGATTAGGCAAACACTCAATAACTCTACATTTGTGAAGATGGAAGACCACAAAGAGTTAAAGAGCTGTTCAAATACACCCAGAGCTGTCCACTCTGTGATCTCTCTCATGGTATTTTGACGTTTACCCCATTAATAAATCTGGTAGAAGCAGTATTTGAAGTTGAAGTGAACTAAAAATTCACAAAACTGAGGCATCTGAGTGTTCACTGTTCAGCTCAGTGCTCTTTTGCGAAGCGTGATGTAAAGGTGAGTTGTTCTTCCACACAGTACTACATTTCTTCAAAATAAATGTCAGGTTGAGTCATTAAAGCAACAGTTAAACCATTTTAAAATGTGTCTGTTTTCTTTACTGTTAGGAATTTGGATCAAAGTGTGTTTTATTTGAATGAAGCCTTCATAATAGAGTGAGTTACACATTATGTAATCACTAATGTAAGATCTTTGAGTGGATTTTGAGTCTGAGTGTTTTATACAGGTTCACTGATTTTCCTTGCAGGTTCTGTCAAAGTAGGCCCACACGGAATCTGCGCGCGCAGAATTCCGCTGATTTTCCGCAGATTTTCTGTAGAATTCCGCAGATTTCTGCAGATTTTTAGCCCATCATTAATTCTGTTTATTTGCTTGAGTAAATGTGTAAATCTGAATTATTCAGTTTTTTATTCAGTTATTTATTACTTTTTATTTCATATATTAAGGTTTTAGTTATGATACTCCGCTGGATACTCCCAAAATAATTCCGCCGAAATCCGCAGATTTTTACCAAAATTCTCCACAGAAATAGCAAAAAACGTCCGCAGATTCCGTCTGGCCCTGGTTATAAGTACAAGGTACAGGTAATTTTCACAGTAATCTAAATATTAACTGAATTTGATTTTATATGGGCAAATAAAGTAAAATAGATCTGGAATTTTAAATGTTTTTTTTTTTTTGTACTATTCACAATGTTTGTGAAGCTCTCGAGGCTTCTTTTTACTCAGAAGTACCACTGCAGGACTTGGTTGTCCATTAGCAACAAACAGTTACAAAAGACAAAAAAATAAAAACAAACTATTTACAAAAGACAAAAACTGTTTTTTGGAGTACCACATGACAAAGTGACTTGGAAACATGATCTACTCAATGAGTATTTGAGATATTGGATTTGGATCCCCAATTGTTTTTGTTGTTGTTCTGTCACTGAAAAGCAATTTGTTACATTGTTTGAAAAGTTGTCTATAAAAAGTTATGTTTCATATCAAATTTAGTGGCGAGGCAGTGGCACAGTAGGAAGTGCTGTCGCCTCACAGCAAGAAGGTTGCTGGGTCGCTGGTTCAAACCTCAGCAAAGTTGGCGTTTCTGTGTGGAGTTTGCATGTTCTCCCTGCCTTCGCGTGGGTTTCCTCCGGGTGCTCCGGTTTCCCCCACAGTCCAAAGACATGCGGTACGGGCGAATTGGGTAGGCTAAATTGTCCGTAGTGTATGAGTGTGTGTGTGAATGTATGTGTGTGTGGATGTTTCCCAGAGATGGGTTGCGGCTGGAAGGGTATCCGCTGCGTAAAAACTGGCTGGATAAGTTGGCAGTTCATTCCGCTGTGGCGACCCTGGATTAATAAAGGGACTAAGCCGACAAGAAAATGAATGAATGAATCATATTCAGTCGTCAGTGTCTAATTACCACACTGGGCCAATGTTGCAAATCTGCAACATCCCAGAACGCCTTGCATGTGAAGGTCTCTCTAAAAAAAAAAAAAAAAGTCAGGATTCCATTATACTACCCCATATGATAATTTTCCCCAAATATCAGATTATTCCCGTTTCTAAAACTTAATTTGAGCCTGAGAGGGCATGCTGCCTTTATTAGACTGAATGAGTGTTCTTTTTGTTGTAGGTGTGTTGGTGTGAAATTGATGCAGACTGGTCAGTACTGCATTTTTGCCATCAAATTAAATAATGATTCATTTCACATTGTAACTTAAATATGGATATAATGCTACACAGGCAGTTGTGCTGGACCTTTTGTACTTTGTGAAGTTTATTTATAAATTAGGATCACCTGCTTATGCATATTCAATTTATGATTCACCAATCAGACGATTTCCAAGCAACTATAAATACCCTCAGGTCCATATAACAGTCATCTTCGTTTTGAAGAATCCCCCTTCCACCCCTACCCCTACTCCTCCTCCTCCTCCTTTCCTGGTGTGGTCTTTTCCACAGTGGCCCAGTAGTTAGCACTGTTGCTTCACAGCAAGAACGTCACTAGTTCTTACCAAGCCAGCTGATGTTTCTGTGCGGAGTTTGCACATTCTCCCCGTGCTCATGTGGGTTTCCTCTGGTTTTCTTCCAACCGTCCAAAAACATGCAACTCAAGTTAATTGACTTATCCAAATCGGTGCGAATGAAATATTCATTAAAGGCGGCAACACCAAAGCTCCAAAAACATAAATTTATTTAATTAAAAAAGCTGACACGAAGCGTGTAACGTTTCGGGCCACACGGCTCCTCATCAGACAGTGTTCATCACAAGCAGATGCTCCTTTACACTTCCGGATCACATGATATCCTCTCGCATATATGTCCACATATACCTACATACATATGTATACATACATACACAATCATTCATATACAAAACAGGTGTCAAACTCAGTTCCAAAAGGGCCGCAGCTCTGCACAGTTTAGTCCCAACCCTAATTAAACACACCTGATCAAACTAATTGAGTCCTTCAGGCTTGTTTGAAACCCACAGGTAAGTGTGTTGGAGCAGGGTTGGAACTAAACTGTGCAGGGCTTCGACCCTCCAGGAATTGAGTTTGACACCCCTGCCCTAAACAATTGGAAAGGGGCTTCATCGGAGAATATAACTGTGCCCCAGTCCTTAGCAGTCCATTCGCAAATCTTTTAGCAGAAGATTAATCTGTCCCTGATGGTTTTTTTTGTTTTTTTGTTTGGAAAGAAGTGGCTTCTTTGCTGCCCTTCTTGACACCAGGTCATCTTCCAAAAGTCTTCGTCTCACAATGCGTGCAGATGCGCTCACACCTACCTGCTGCCATTCCTGAGCAAGCTTTGCACTGGTGGCATTCCCGCATCTGAATCCTCTTTAGGAGACAATCCTGGCACTTGCTGGACTTTCTTGGATGCCCTGAAGCCTTCTTAACAAGAATTGAACCTCTTTCCTTGAAGTTTTTGATGATCCTATAAATTGTTGATTTAGGTGCAATCTTAGTAGCCACAACATCCTTGCCTGTGATGGCTGCACACTTTTCTTTGCAGGTCACCATGGTTAACAATGGAAGAACAATGATTTCAAGCATCACCCTCCTTTTAACAAGTCAAGTCTGCCATTCTAACCCAATCAGCCTGACATAATGATCTCCAGCCTTGTGCTCGTCAACATTCTCACCTGAGTTAACAAGACGATTACTGAAATGATCTCAGCAGGTCCTTTAATGACAGCAATGAAATGCAGTGGAAAGTTTTTTTTTTTTTTTTTCAGGATTAAGTTCATTTTAATGGCAACGAAGGAGTATGCAATTCATCTGATCACTTATCATAACATTCTGGAGTATATGTAAATTGCTATTATAAAAACTTAAGCAGCAACTTTTCAAATTTTAAATATTGGCCATCACTGTAGGGGATCATCTGTTAGTATCTAGCCTGGAGCGCCATCTGGTGTACCTTTGAAGCTAAGAAGGAAACAAATGATGAATTATTGGATGAATCTACAAGGGCAGGAAATAAATAGTAATCCAGCATAAAGAGTTCTTATTCCGAGTTGGGAATATGGAAAAAACAAAACCGTTTTTGGAAGAGAAAGCATGGAAGTAGCTTAGGAGATGGAATTAATTGATAAAGGTTTAAACAAAGCAGTACCAATAGCCACACCACCACCATGGTTATATCCTTTAGGATTAGTTAATTTGGATTTACTGGACAATAGTCAGGACTATAGAAACATCGCTAATATTTCAGGAATAATTGAAGATAAAATTATGACAAAATATAAAGAATGTACTGAAGTATACACAGATGGGTCAGTAAATTTGGAGTCGGGCAGAACTGGGTTTGGTGTATTTGTACCAAAATTAGACATATCAATTAAGAAAAGAACAGATTACCTAACAATATATACAGTAGAGCTGATGGCTATAATTGCTGTGCTGTATTGGACAGAGGAAAGTGGCTTAAAGAAAGTGGTTATATGTGTATATGAAGTTTTTTTTTTATTTTATTTTATTTTATTGAAAGCGAAAACGTCTTTACAGGTAGCGAAACGGCTCAATTAGCAAGTCACATGTTTACATTTGATGTTAATCGACTATTTGAAAAATGTAAATCACTTGTCGATTCCATAATCAGAATATTGTCAATAGTTGTATTGCTGTCGTCCATGTAGATGCGAAAATCAAAATCTCAAAGCGCAAATTCGTGACTAGTTTGCACACGTTGCATTCGAATTCAGGGAGGTTTGCAGCTTTAGCCTTCGTTTGTTCTCAATAAAATGGAGGGGAAAAAAACATAAGGTGTCCGACTTTTATTTTTCAGTGCATAACATTAGTTATTTCTTTTAAAATACAATCTGACAGCTAAAGTTCTGTCAAAGATCTTTAAAATTGCCATCAATATATGTGATAATAAAGGTCGTTATTTGATCTTTACATGGTAATATTGTTATTCTGAATCACAGTTAATTGTCTTGTCATTTTTTTTTCTTTTACAGTTCTGAGTGCTTGGTTTTTCCTTGACGTATGAGTTCTGGAAGAGTCTTGGTCATGAACTCATAGTGTTTGTGCTTAAGGTTTTTCCCAGGTTTCTGTTGCAGTCCGATGGCAAGATACTCATTCTCATTTTCATATTCTGGCCAATGTGTCAGACCCGGACCATTGGGAGACCTGATGATGAAAAAAATGCCAATATTAGACTTTCAAACAACCTACTGGTCATCACATTCACTAACGATGGCAACACAAAATGGTTTTGGTATTATTGTTAATTCGTAAAGACATACAGTGAAAAATTAGCTACGTTTACAGTTGACATTATTGCATATGGATTTATTGGGCATTCTTTTTCAGACATTATGGGGATTATGGGGAGTATTTAAAACAACTTTGATTAGTTCTTAAAGCACTATTTAACACATGAAAAGCAAGTTTTAATGGGATAGTTCACCCAAAAATTAATTTGTCATTTAGTCAGCCTTCACTTGTTTCAAACCTGTTTGAGTTTCTTCTGTTGAACGCAAAACAAGATATTCTGAAGAATGTTGGAGAAAACTGCGATTGACTTTGATGGTATTTTTTGTTGTTCCTGCTATGGATGTCATTGGCTGTTTTTTTTCTAACATTAGCCCCTTTCACACATACAGACCTTTCCGGAAAATTACCGGCAATTTTCCAGAAAGGTGTGTATATGTGAAGAGGCCCTTTGTGAAAATACCGGTAAATTCGTTCCAGCAATTTTCTGAAAAGAGAAGTTGTAACATTACCGGTGTTTTCAAGGAAAATTGCCGGAAAGAGCGCGTTGACTTCTAGCCAATCAGAACATTCAGACGCATTCACGTCCCAGCGGTTTATGAAGATAAAAGCCTTTGAATATTTTTCCAGAAACGTTTAGCTGCTAGATGTTAGTCAGATAATGTTTCTATGTTCTTTATTAATGCCAACTGTGTAAAAAATTATCGATAAGATGCTTATGAAAAGCTGTTGTTTGTTTACCTTCAAGCTTTTCTTCCTTCAGTTGGATATAATACAATTCTATGAGTTTTTTTCCCCCCCCATCAAGTCCAAGTGTTTTTCCATTCTATTTAAATTTTAGCAAAGCACTGTGTTTAAACCTGCAATTGTTTATTCCTGCTGTTGTAATTATGGATTTCATTCCAAATACTACGTGATTTTTACTGTTTAGCTCAATTTAACGAATTTTAATTAAGCATTTTTTTGAGTTTCTCTTAACTATTTATCTATATGACAATTTCGCAAAGCACTGTGCTGAAAACTGTAATATACACATTTATGCTGTTCTTTCATTTTACGGCGAATGAAGCTCTGCACAAGACTTTTGGCCAGCGGAGAAATTAAAATGGTCGTGCCGAACTGAGTCTGGTTCTCTCAAGGTTTTTTTTCTTCACTCCCATTAGGTGAAGTTTTTTTTCCCTCTCCGCTGTCGCCACTGCCTCGCATGGTTCAGGATTGGTAGAGCTACGCATCGATGAATTTGCTCTTCAGTGTTTGAACTCTCAGTAATGATTAAATCACACTGAACTGAGCTAAACTGAACTGAACTTAAACACTAAAACCTGAACCACACTGTTCCAGTTACTATGACCATTTATGTGAAGCTGCTTTGACACAATCTACATTGTAAAAGCGCTATACAAATAAAGCTGAATTGAATTGAATTGAATTTAAAGTGTCCTTTTTTTGAAAGCAAAAACGTTATCCTTTACGTGTAGCAAAACGGCTCAATTAGCGAGTCACATGTTTACATTTGATGTTATTCGACTATTTGAAAAATGTAAATCACTTGTCGATTCCATAATCAGAATATTGTCAATAGTAGTATTGCTGTCGTCCATGTAGATGCGGAAATCAAAATCTTAAAGAGCAAACTCCTTTCTATGTTCCTTCTTAATGCCACCTGTTTAAAACATTATCGATAAGATGCTTATGATCAGCCATTGTTTGTTTACCTTCAAGCTCTGCTTCCTTCAGTTGCTTGGCGCGTCGCACGTGCACATAAAGCAGCCGATGAGCACCAGCACTAACATATTATGTAAATCTCGACATGCGAAAGTGTTTCTCTACATGTTTTCAATGAAGTTGTTCACAATACTCATCCATCCATTGAGTTTGTAATGTAGTCAAATGTTTACAAATACAAGCACAGCCGTTTAGAGCTTATTTCTGGTTAATGATGTCAGAATTTACTGGTATTTTGGAATAGATGTGTAAATGGTCTTTTCTGGGAAAATTACGTAACATCTGTGCCTGTGTGAACAGCGCTTTTTTTTAAATCACCGGTAAAGTCATTCTGGTCATTTTCCGGATATTTACCGGTATCACTGTGTGAAAGGGGCTATTGTTCAGAATGTCTTGTTTTGTGTTCAATAGAAACTCTTGAATGCGAATAAATAGTGAGAAAATGTTCAACTATCCATTTAAAACTTTGTGAGTCTAATCTCAGAATTGTGATTTTTACACAACTGCAAGTTATGAACTCAAAATTGCAAGTTGACATCTCTCAGTTCTGAATTTCTTCTCTAAAATTGCAACTTTATATTGCATGGTTTAATTCTAAAGAGTGTATAAAATTGAGATTTTATAAAATCTTTGGTCACACTTTATTTTGATGGTCAAGTTACATAGCATCTACCTGCCAACTAATTCTCATTAGATTATAAGTAGACTGTTTGGTTGGGGTTAGGGTTAGTGTAAGTTGACATTTACTTACAAAGTTTCTTATAAATAGTTAAATGTCTGTTGAATATCAGTATCAAGAGATATTAAGCAGATAGTCTACTAATACTCAAATGGAACATCAAAATAAAGTGTTACTGAATCTTTTGTTTTTAATTTGTCATTAGATTCACTCAAAACTTTTCTATCAGAACGTTATGGAATTATGCTAATTTTCTCAGTTTACCATATCTGGCCAATAATCCACTCATAGTGACAAAAGAAATATTTTACCCAGTGTGTGCAAAGTTCCCCCAGTAGGCCATCACAGTCCTGCAGAGCTCGTTTTCTTCTTCTGTGAAAGGAGCTGAAGAGATACAAACATTCAATGATCAGTCGCTGTTCATTTCTGTTCGATTTTGGATTTTTTTTTTAGTCTAATGTAAAGAAAACATCCAAAACAGACTTGTATATCTGCAAGCTTAAATTATAGACAGTATTTTCAGAATTATATAATGATGAAGAAATTCCCCAAATTCCCTCAATAAAAAAAATTCTCAACTTCAAAAAAAAATTTTAATTCTGAAAACTTTTAAATTCCAAAGTCGCCGCAATTCAGAGTAACTTTTTACATGTTAGTATCAGTAAATAAATATTACTTACATTTAGAAGATGTAAATACCCCCATTTAGCCACTTTTCAAATCTTCTGACCAATCAAATTCTCTCAAGAATCTGACATGCCCCGCCCCCTTCAATACCCTATTGCGAAATGCACTTAAGTTCAACCACTCTCATTGGCAGAGCTGTGACAAAAACAAAATACTATTGGCTGTTTACATATTTTTAAAGAGGGAGGGGCTACTATATGTCCCACCCTTTCTTCATATTCCAGGTCAAATTATTATTATTTTTTTTATTCTTTATAAGTGTTTGTGTCTGCAAACTTAAATTATAAGCAGTAATTTATTAGATATGGAGTGATAAAAAGAGATTTTCCAAACTCAGTAAAAACCAACTCTTCGACTCCATGTAAAAAAACTCAAAAAATCTGGAAGATTGGTCATGTCTGTGTTAATTCAAAATAACGTGTTTTAGATTAAAGTATCTTTATGCAGGTCTTAAGGATATCAAAATGTAACCAAATTTGCATTTAAAAGATTTATGCAGTCAGTCGCTTTTCAGATACTCTGACCAATTGATGCTCTCCAGTATCTGACATGCTCCGCCCCCTCCAATACACTATTCAATTCAATTCAATTCAGCTTTATTTGTATAGCGCTTTTACAATGTAGATTGTGTCAAAGCAGCTTCACATAAATGGTCATAGTAACTGGAACAGTGTAGTTCAGTTTTACTATTACAAAATGCATTTAAGTTCAACCACTCTCACTGGCAGAGCGGTGACAAAAACAAAATGCTATTGGTTGTTTATTTTTATTTTTTTAAAGAGGGAGGGGCTACTACATGTCCCACCCTGTCTTCATATTTCAGTTCTAATTACAAACCAGAGTTTAATTTTCATTGTTTATTTTAAAAATTGTGTCTGCAAACAAATAAGCCGTATTTTATTAATTATGGAGTGATAAAAATAGACTACCCAAATTCCCTCACTAAAAAACATTTTTAAAAACTTCATCGTGAATTCAAAATAATATAATTTTTTAGATGTAAGTATCTTTAAGTAAATCTTTAAGGGTATAAAATTGAAACTTTAAATGATATAAATATCCCCCGCTTGTAGTTTGCCACTTTTCAAATCTTCCGACCAATTAAAGGGCACTTAGGTTACCCCTTTTTTTCAGAGTTAATATGAGTCTTTTGTGTCTCCAGAATGTGTCTGTAAAGTTTCAGCCCAAAACACCTATCAGATTTTTTTATACATTTTATTGAATTCTATATAATACATTTTTGCACCAGGAAACAGTTTTTGTGTACTGCGCCTTTAAGGCTAGTCTTCCCCGCCCACTGTTTCTACATGCCTTAATCTCCTCCCTTGGCTGCGTCAGACAACAGACAGGCTTAAAGGAAGAAGATCTCACGTAACGTTTGTGAGAAATGCTACTGTAAGAACTTTACCAATGAGTATTTGATGCATTTATTGAGTTGCATTGATGAGTCACACAAAATGTCGTTACAAAGTTCACGCACACACACAAAGATAAACAAGTGGGAGGGGCAACTACATGTCCCACCCTGTCTTCATATTTCAGTTCTAACTAATTATTTATTTTTATTCTTTATCATTTTTTTGTGTATGCAAACTAAAAATAAGCAGTATTTTATTAATTATGGAATATTAAAAAAGAGATTTCCCAAATTCCCTCACTAAAAACCGACTCTTTGACTCCACCATGTCAAAACTATGGAGACCCGGTAGAGACTTGATGGCGTTCCCTCGCAAAGATGTTTTGCGTTCCCCCACAAAACTGTTGTTCGACAAACACGTCAGTTCACACATGACAACCCTTCTATTTTTGCCAGGATTCTCCCATATTTTACCATTATATCCTACTATTAGGTATTTTCCCATATTTCTCTCATATTTTTATTCTTGAAAGCATGTCAAAATTACTATAAAATGTCTGAATTCATTTTCTTTCCGTTAAAGCTGTGCGTCAATCAGCCCCCCTTCATATGCAACCTCTGAATCAGTGAATGCATGTATAAGCGCTGACTGACTCCCAGATCAACTGTACATGCCATTTAAAGAGGAGCTAAAGTGCAGGACAATTTGGGATTGGGGTGTGTGTTTAAACAGACAAATACACTTAGTAATATGTAAACATGCCAGGACGTCCTGCGAGTTTTATTTTAAACACAACTAATTTCCTCTTAAATGAGCACAACCAGTTAAAGTATGCTTTTGTTATATATCAGTGTGTTCGTAAAGTGACACCTCTGTTATCAAACAAACATTTTTATATTAATTTTAACATGCTTTCGAGATTAAAAATATGAGAGAAATATTTAAAAAAATAACTAAAAATAGGATATGATGGTAAAATACGGCAGAATCACGGCAAAAAAAGGAGGGTTGTCATGTATAAAGAGAAGTGTTTGTCGAACAACAGTTTTGCGAGGAAACGCAAAACTTCTTTATGTGGGAACGCAAAAAAATTCGAAAAAATATGTTTACCCATCACTCTATTTTTTCTCCCACCCATTTTTTTCTCCACCATCACGTCCCTTCCGGGTCTCCGTACAAAATGAAACAGTTTTGTAAACTCAGAAAACTCAAATTCGAAAGTCATCGTGAAATCAAAATGACGATTTTTAAACACAAGTATCTTTAAGTCTTATGTCGAATCATCAAGCAGATCGCTCGGCTCGTCTGTGTTTGTGCTCAGTAAACAGCGGTGGGTGAACTGATGAGCTTCTCTGCCAATCACAAGCATTTCTGTTGAGCACGTGAACACAATGGCAGGTCAGCGCTGTTTTAAGAAAGCCATCAACACTGCCTTAAACGTAAGTGGGATATTTAAGGTTTTTCTTTTAATTCAGTACCGTTGTCACATTCACCAGCGAACAACCACCAGATGTCGCTGGTAAACACACACACACACACACACACACACACACACTTAGGACTACAAATCTGCTGATAAACTACATATTCAGTCATGCCACACACACACACACATCTCCTCCAAGTCTCCACAGATTAGACTCCCACAGCTGATCCTGCTTCAAGACTGATTACACACAGTATTTAAGCAGCACACACACTCATTCACATTGCAGAGTCTTGTTATCTGTCACAGTGACATTACAACGCGTTTCCTTTGTGTGTCTTTGCCGTGTTTTTGATCCTTTGCCTTGTTTATTTATTTAATTCTGTTTGCTGACCACTGCTTGCCTGACAATTCTATAAAACTGCACGTGGATCCAAACTTCTGTTGTTGGTGTCACTTCCCCGAGGTTACAATCGTGACAAGTCTAAGAATCAGTTTATTTACTCGAGTTTGATAAATGGCATCTAAAACGTGTGTTTGGGAAAGAAAACGTTAGTGACTACTGCCATTTCTCTTAACTTAGCTGAAAATGAGCTCTGATATCCCTTTTATTTTCCCCATTCATTCAGAACGGACCTTTGGGTGACGGCTGTGGAATAATACATTTGTGTCACTTTATCTTCGCTGATAAGATATACAGCCAAGTACACAAAGTTCCTACGCAACTCTAAACGATACTTCCAGGTTTCTTCCCACCGCAGCCTCGACTTGGTGGCTGCGTGAAATCAGGCTATAGCAAGAAAAAACTATGGCTAAAGTCCAGTGCCACTAAAGCCTCCTTTGTGTTAAAGTTAGAAAAGATAAAAAAGAAACTTAAATAGGTTTGAAATAGGTGGAAAATGACGCCAGATTTTTTAATTTTTGTGTGAACAATCCCTTTAACCCCAGCCAAAGACCGGAGGACCAAACCAAGAGCATATTACACAACAATGTACTAAATATTGAATAGTTTTTCTGTTGCATTTGGAAAAGAAAACATGTATTAATAGCTATGTTTCCATCCACCTATTTGTATGCGCATTTTGTATATGCGCATAAAAAAAACGGTTGAGGTAAACGACATGATGCGCATACATTTTGAAAATGTGCATAAAAATCTTATGCGCATAACTGAGAAGGATAAACTTTTTATTCCATTAGATGCACATAAACTGCGAAGGAAACTGCACAAACTCCAGTATGCGCATAAAAAAAAGTCATGTGATTTTGCTAAAAAAGATCATGCGATGATAAAATGTGTGAATGGAAAAACCGTCAGGCTGAGCACACAGTAAAACATCTGAAATGTTGTTTTGGTCATTAGGAAACGCCTTAAAGAATATCCAAATGTAACCAAATTTGCCTTTAAAAGATATAAATATTCCCAGCTTTCAGTTTGCCACTTTTCAAAACTTTCGACTAATCGATAGTGATGTGACGTTGTGCGCCGAGGCTTCGAAGCATGTATCAAAAAAACGATACATCTCGCAGTGAAGCAGTGTACCGGAGCTTGATTCGTTTTGCCATCATCACGTGATCAGTGACGTCCGAAGCTTCATTTTCGCATATACCCACGTGACTGCTTCGAATTTTGATTCAAAGGTTTAAACACCATTATAGTAAAGTGTTTAGCAAGAGATTAGGCGTCGATTACATACATTTGTACTGTTTCAAAGCACTGCACCAGTCCCACACACCAGTAATTAAACTAAAATACAATAGTAATTTTTAGTAAAAAGGTTCTGAACCAAACTAAAGTGTATTAGCGTATTTTTTACAACTCTCTTTAAAGAAAACCACCGCATATCGTAGTATTGTCTTTAACACAGACCATTTGGCGAGCGCATCCGTATAGTATCAATCTCATGGCGTCCTTCTAGAACACTCGCCTCCCATACAGGAATTGCTGGTACGATCCCCGCTTGGAGCAAGACTAATTGTATTATGATAGACTTTTGATTACCTTGGATTTCACAGTCATCAGTTGTGTAATGTAATATATCTTGTGTAAAAACTACAGTAATTGAGTAATTTGTTTATATTGCTGTTGTTGTATTACTATAGTACATGAATAAGTTGGTCAGTAGTGAACATTTGACATTATGGCAACACAGTGCTTTCCCACACTTTAACCAGAAGAGGTCCTCATCGAGCTCTGATTTAGAAAGCTTCGAGTAACGAACCTTTTTCCGATACAATTGAGTCGAGCGCTTCACTGGTTCAGAAAGCTTCATTTCACCATCACTACTAATCAAATGCTCTCTAGTATCTGATATGCCGCGCCCGTTCAATGCATCATACCGTTTAATGCGCTTAAGTTCCGCTCTCACTGGCAGAGCGGTGACAAAACAAAACACTAATGGCTGTTTTGGCTATTGGCTGTTTTTTTTAAAGGGGGAGGGGCTACTTTATGTCCCACCCAGTCTTCATGTTTCAGTACAATTTATGTCATCCAACAATAATGGTGATAAATATTTCCCCCTGTTCCCCAGCAGTGTCCTGTGTGCTTGTGATGATGGAGTTTACCGCTTATTCTGAGATGGGCTTTAGCGAAGCAGGTGCCCTGGATGAAGTAGAGGTCATCAGCGTGGTCCACACCCACGAAGCTAGGCCTCTTCTTCTGGAGGAAGCTGGGCGGATGCTGGAGCTCATACAGGTACACTGGAGCTCCTGTGCCTACAGGAAAACACAGCTCTTACTCTTCCACCTGCATTCAGCTACTCTAGTTAAAATGATTGAGGAGCTAAGAGATATGATGTGAACATAAGAAGAACGAGTTAACATGAAGGCTTAGAATTACACTGTAAATGTATTGTGCGAGGTGATACGGTGGCTCAGTGGTTAGCACTGTCATCTCACAGCAAGAAGGTCGCTGGTTCGAGTCCCGGTTGGGACAGATGGGGTCTTTTTGTGGAGTTTGCATGTTCTCCCCGTGTTAGCCTGGGTTTTGTTCCGGGTGCTCCGGTTTCCCCCACAGTCCAAAGACATGCGCTATAGCTGAATTAAATAAACTAAATTGGCCGTAGATTGTGTGAATGAGTGTGTATGGATGTTACAGAGTAAAGATTTCTATTATATTCATTTATAATGTATTTAATGCGACCGACAAATAATGTAACTATGCGATGACTAACATCAGGGTTCATCAAACTGCATAAAATGTCAATTTTAATGCATTTATGAATGTAGAAAGAGTCATTTAAATATGACCATGTTAAAAAATAAGTTAATTTAAATAAAAAATCTATTTCGTTATCTCAAAATTGAAGGTCAGCAAGCTACGGATTAATATTTTTTCCTATAATCTGAAATAAATGTGTTATTTGTGTGTTATAATCCCAGTTGCAGTGATCTGGTGTACATTAATGATCTCCTCTCACCGCTGTGGTGTTTTGCCAGTTGCAGGGCAGGGATGTTAAACAGCACGTCTCCCATCATCTCCCGATAAACTTCACGGATTTCAATGGGGTCGTGTGTGTCGCCCAGATATTCCTTCGCCACCAGATCAATGATCCATCGATCCTTGGGCTGATTATAAAAGTGAGAGCAGATTCAGAATAGAGATGTTCAAATAAACTCTGGAAAGGTGTACTGTAAAGGATGTCTTACATCAGGATATGTGAGCGTCAAGGCTTCAGCGATTTGCTCTCTTTTCAACCCATTCATCCATTCAGGACCCAAGAAATACTGTGGCAAAAAACAATAATAATAAATCAATCACATGAATTTACCGTCAATGCATATAGACTTCAGTTAAAGTGACATAAAAGTGGACAGAACAATAATAATATTAAATATTAAATATACAGATGAAGTCAGAATTATTAGCCCCCCCCTTTGATTTAATTGTCTTTTTAAATTATTTCCTAAATGATGTTTAACAGAGCGAAGACATTTCCACAGTTTGTCTAATAATATTTGTTCTTCTGGAAAAAGTCTTCTTTGTTTTATTTCGGCTACAATAAATGCAATTTTAAATTTTTTTAAAAACATTTTTGGACAGTATTATTAGCAACTTTAAGGTATTTTTTTTCTCTTGTACAGCAGGGATTCCCAAACTTTTTTATTGTGGGACCCACCTAGGCAAGTAATTAAATCTCCAGACCCACCATAATATTTTAATATGGAAAAATGGGTAAAAAAAAGTATCCATTCAAAGCATTCAAAAATATATGATGTATGGCTTTTTGGATTTTGCGAATTTGATATGCACAAAATGAGGCTCGAAGTGCTTTTTGTGGGATGCTGGCTGTAACTGTGATCATTTTTTGGTTGAAAAAGATACTCTTCTTTTTTTTAGAAGAGAATATGATCGACTTTTGATTAAGCCCTTTGATTATGATCAAGCCCCGTCACATCACAGTCTATTCCACTGCTAGTGTATATTGTCATAAGAAACTACATAGCTTTTTAATCGACTATCACAAGATAAGAAAACGTCAGATAAATATGCCAATGCAATTAACGTTATAGCTGAATAGATCTAATATTTACACATTTGCTTGAGGAAGGACTGATGGGGGTAGTTACATTACTATTACTATTTTCCATAACATCTATGCCCTTCCATAACATTAGCTGACGTTAAAACTAACAGATAGCACTATAGCTATTTATTGATTATCAATCTTTCAATGTTGGGATGTAAAAAATATTGGACAACAAATAGCTTCAAATGATAGAATACATAGCAAACATTAGAAAATATTGACAATAAAATAAAAGGTTTAGCCCATTAAAATCAATGGCCTATACAGAAATTAACAATAAAGCTAGAAAATCTATTAAACTTTTAATTGTATTTGCATATTGATTAAAGTTACTATATTTACTAAGTGAAGAGCAGCAAATGAATCTCTCATTGTGTTTTGTTTGATAACAGAGGTGTCAATGTAAGAATGCACAGATCTATAATGAAACATTCAATTACTTTAGTAACTGTTTGTGCTCATTTAAGAGAAAATTAGTTGTGTTTAAAATAAAACACGCAGGACGGAGCCAAAAAAAAAAAAAAAAAACTGAAAAAAAAAAAACGAAAAAGAAATAAGCACTTTTCCGACGGTCCCTTACTGAGAGCTCCACTTGCCGCGAGCTCTCCCAGCTAAACACAGATTGCGAGGGCTCAAACGGAGCAGTGCTCGAAATGTCGAGCGAAAAAAAAAAAGAAAAAGACAGCTGTGAAACATAACCAGCTTTGTCTTTTTGTAGGAAACACACTTTAGATATTTTAAGGGCAAGAGGTTTTTGAGTTATTGCCGTCAATCGTACTGGTTTTGATTCACCGCAATGTAAATATAGCTGCAGCTATGTGACGTTGCGCGACCCACCTTTGTTCACTGTGCGACCCACTAGTGGGTCGCGACCCACAGTTTGAAAACCCCTGGTCTACAGAACAAACCATTGTTATACAATAACTTGCCTACTTACCCTATTCTGCCTAGTTAACCTAATTAACCTAGTTAAGCCTTTAAATGTCACTTTAAGCTGTATAGAAGTGTCTTGAAAAATATCTAGTCAAATATTATTTACTGTCATCATGGCAAAGATAAAACGAATCAGTTATTAAAGATGAGTTATTAAAACTATTATGTTTAGAAATGTGTTGAAAGAATCTTCTCTCCTTTAAACAGAATTTGGGGGGAAAAAATTACGGGTGCTAATAATTGAGGGGGGCTAATAATTCTGACTTCAACTGTGTGTGAAAAGCTAGTGAAAGAATACTAACAATTTTATGTTTTTTAAATTATATTTTAAGGCACTCATATACAGTTGAAGTCAGAATTATAAGCCCCCCAATTTCTGTTTAATGGAGGGAAGATTGTTTCAACACATTTTTAAGCATAGTAGTTTTAAAATCCTATTTCTAATAACTTATTTATTTTATCTTTGCCACGATGACAGTAAATATTATTTTACTTGATATTTTTCAAGACACTTCCATACAGCCTAAAGTGACATTTAAAGGCTTAACTAGGTTAATAAGGTGAACTAGGCAGGTTAGGGTAATTAGGCAAGTTACTCTATAACGATGGTTTGTTCTGTAGACTATCGAAAAAAAAAATAAGCTTAAAGGGGGTTGTAAATTTGTTTACAAAAATAGTTTTAAAAAAATTCAAAACTGCTTTTATTCTAGCCAAAATAAAACAAATAAGACCTTTTTTAAAAGAAAAAATATTATCAGACAAACTGTGAAAATTTCCTTGCTCTTTTAAATACAATTTGGGAAATATTTAAAAAAGAATAAAAAAATCAAAAGGGGGCTTCAACTGTATAAATAACATTTATAAATAAATATAATATACACTATAACGATGGCTACGCAGTGGTGCAGTGGGTAGTACTGTCGCCTCACAGCAAGAGGTCGCTGGGTCGGCTCAGTTGGTGTTTCTGTGTGGAGTTTTCTGTGTGGAGTTTGCATGTTCTCCCTGCGTTCGTGTGGGTTTCCGGGTGCTCCAGTTTCCCCCACAGTCCAAAGACATGTGGTACAGGTGAATTGGGTAGGCTAAATTGTCCGTAGTGTATGAGCGTGAATGAGAGTATATGGATGTTTCCAAGAGATGGGTTGCAGCTGGAAGGGCATCCACCACATAGAATGTATGCTGGATAAGTTGGCGGTTACTTTCGCTGTGGTGACCCCAGACTAATAAAGGGACTAAGCCGAAAAAAAAAATGAATGAATGAATGAAAATATACTATAAATAAATAAACAATATTTGGCTCTTCAATTTAGTAAAAAAATGTATTAAAATAAATACAAAAATGTAAAAATATATATCAATTAAGAGTATTAAAAAATAACACTTGTATCCATTTGAATATAATATACTTACTTCAGCCAACAAGAAGCCAAACTCATCATTGTTAATGCCGTTGATGAGAGGAACTTTACTAAACTCTTGTTTCTCAACAATCTCCTCGATGGGTTTGGGAAGGAAATAAGAATCTACAGCAACGGAGAAGTGCATCATCTGGAACTGCAAACACAATGCAAACATTCACACAATTAATTGCTAACATCAATCACAGGAAATACACAAATAGTACATGTATTCGTGCTAAACATTATAAGTACACTCCACTAGACTTATAGTGCACATCCGGTCCAAAAATGACAATTAGGCATGGGCCTGATAAGATTCTGACGGTATGATAACCTTGGAAAAAACTATCACGGTATTGTGATTACTGCTCAAAAATAAGTTCTTTTTAAAGAACTGGTTATCTGGTTAAAACGCAACTTCTTTTCACCCATTAAACACAATATATTTTACCTTAAGAAACATTTCAAATATTTTGGACAAGTAGTTTTTGATGTGGAGGCAACGGTGTAGGATTGCACTTGACATTGGTGGCGATATTTAATGCTGCTATTATTTATGTAACTGTTATATATATATATATATATATATATATATATATATATATATATATACACAATAAAATTTATTCAATTTTTGGCCTGTAGCCAAGGGGGGTTCTGGTGGTTCGAAAGACCAAAAGTTGGATTATTATTATCATTAAGTTTAAATTTTTTTATTATTTAAATGGTTAAATTCTGACTAAGGAAAGTTGAAAGTGCTGGCCAGTTGGTATTTGTCTGTAGGCTTCAGTGTTTAATTTAAACCAAGTTTTAACAGATTTCTAAAAAAAAAAAAAGTAATGATAGATTCATTGTATTTTAAAAATAAGCATAATTTCACATTTTTTATTTAAATTATTTATTTTTATTTTCATTATTTATATAACTGCAATATAAAACTTAGATTAAATACACATTTGTAAATAACCCTTAAAATAGTATGGTAAGCAATGTGACAGAATGGTTGGAAATATTATTTGGTACATCAAAAAGTGTGGTTATGATAATCATCCGACAAAAATTTGTTCTTAAAATGCAATATTTACACCTCATAATTAAATAGAAAATGAGGAAATTAACTGCAAGAAGATTCAGTTTTTCAGAAAAAAAAAAAAAAAAAAGGCACAGCCAATCAAAATGTGCATATGCGTTTTGGGGGTGGGGGTACTGGATATTATAGCTTTCTGCATGTCTAGGTTAGGGCAAAGCAGTGGCGCAGTAGGTAGTGCTGTCGCCTCACAGCAAGAAGGTCGCTGGTTTGAGCCTCGGCTCAGTTGCCGTTTCTGTGTAGTGTTTGCATGTTCTCCCTGTGTTCACGTGGGTTTCCTCCGGGTGCTCCGGTTTCCCCCACAGTTTCCCCAATTCACATGCGGTACATGCGGCTAAATTGTCCATGATGACTGTGTGTGTGTGGATGTTTCCCAGAGATGGGTTGCGGCTGGAAGGGCATCCGCGGCGTAAAAACTTGCTGGATAAGTTGGCGGTTCATTCTGCTGTGGCGACCCCGGATTAATGAAGGGACTAAGCCGACACGAAAATAAATGAATGTCTGTCTAGGTTAATGTTGACCATGCTTTTTTTTTTTAAGTGGATTGAATTATTGGTGGGGAAACTCCAATAGCTGGGACGCGTCCCCTCCATCCACCCTAAATCTACAATGCTGATGCCCTAAAAAACGAAATTAAATTATTGAAAAACATGTAAAAACAAAAAAAAAAAAAAAGGTGTACACCTACCGGTATAACAGAAAACTTTAGCCATTTTCCAAACCGCAGTAAACCTTGAAACCAATTATCGCCCCATGCATAATGGCAATAACCTTTTGTTATATGGGTTGTTTTTAATCAAGTGTTTCTGGTGATGTGCGAATTTTAGATGGAGGGCAGGAAGTAAAAAACTAAATGGAGACATAGAGGAAAGTCCGTGTTTTTATGATTTATACCACATTTTAAAGGAGCTATAAATAGAAAATAAGCACATATGTTGGGCGTGATCCTTATATCATGAAGAGGGCAGAGTTTTCCACTGAATCTAAATATATTTGCCTGTCACTGATGCGGTACATACTGTATAAATACATTACATGAAAAATAATATAGTGTTTGGAAGCATAAGTACTTGAATTAAACTGTCATAGTGATTATATTGTTGTTGTGGTACAACACAACTGTAGTAATAAACAAATGATTCAATAGGCTTCAGTTTTCTACGCTATAATCACAATGCACCACAGTTTACACTAACAACACAGTGTTTACTACAGTTTATCAGTTTACTATTCTGTAGCATTCATTAACTATGAGTTGTACACATTACTATGGGGCTCAAAAACAAGTTTATTATAAATTACTATTGTTTTCCCCTCATGCGGGCATCTTCCAGACATCACGAAATAACAGATGAAAGCATACAAAAGTGTGGACGCATAGTCGATATTATTATTTATTTATTTATTTTAAGGGGGAAAAGGTGCTCCACAATAATAACCGTCAGGTTTTGTCGCAAGGGTTGCATTTCTTTTTTTGTTCTGTCCATGAACTTAACATTAACAAACATTCACTGATGCTGCGCATCTCGATGTTCACGTTACAGATGTTTATTCTGCCAATAAACATTTGGATTATTGCAAAACAAGACGGCGATTACATGGCAGGGTACGTTATTGATATTCTCCTGGATTTTGTATAAGTGTGGTGGTGTTTGTATTTTTTTTTTTTACACATTAACATATTAATACGCATAGCTAGGCCTGTATATAATCTTTATTGGTGCTGTCAAACGAATTGTACACATGGAAGTATTGAATAAATGTTTATTACCTGCCGCCTTTTCTTCTGTTTTTCAGCCAGTTTCTTGAACTTTCCCTTATTTATGTGCTAAAATTTCTGGAAGTCTATAAAATCTCGGCAGTTCTTATATTGGCCGATTTAAACGATTATAAACAACATAAAACAGAAGCATTTTGATGTTCTGATCGTGATTACTATGTAGAAGAACCACTTCCTGCCCTCTATCTGAGTTTCGTGCCTCAATGGCGTCATGTGAAAACAACCTATATAGAAAACAATGTCAGATTTCTGACCGAGATCCCTCATTCGTCTTTAATACTAGTTATAAATGACCCAGTTGCTAGTTTTGTGATGAACAATTCATCTGTGCATGGCATACAGAAAAAAAATAGTTTGCTCTTCTAATCTGAAACTAAAATCCAAAAATGCACTTCCTGTTTTCAGTTAAATTCTTAGATTATGTCTGTCTGAGGAATTGGGTGTGGCTAACACATTTAACCATGCCCCTCCAACTTTCAGTTTCACAACAAACAGAAATGGTGAGGGGGTGGAATCTGTTATGCTGTGTTCACGCCAGACGCGGAACGCGTGGATAAATCGAGTTATTCGTGCGTAAATAGCCACGTGAACATTTGAATTTACTCGCTTCATTCGCGTGTCAAACCCCGCTTCATTCGTGCGTCAAATCCGCTTCAATCGCGTGTCAAATTCACTTCAGAACAGACGCGGATTCGCGTGATGGGCAGGGCTTCTGTCTGCCCGGTGACTAGCTTCATAGCTAAATGGCTAACATGGATTTTATGAAGAAAATAACAGTGTTAATGTGCTTTATGAAGACTGAAAAACAGCGTAAATACGTTTAGGGTCCTGTCTGAGTCCACTACATCCTTTCATAGGTGCATCCAGCTCTGTGAGCTCATAAACTCCTTCAGAAACTGAACCTGGATGACGGAGACTTTCAGCGGTGCTTCTGACTGAGCCAAGCCCAGTTTGATGACTTGTTGTCGGTGTCGTCTGGAGGATTTCCCCCGGGACACCATCAACAGGTTCTACGTCACAATCACGCCCCCACAAGAGCAAGCTTCTGATTGGTTAACGCGGCGCGAATGTCCGCTGAAGTTCAGATTTTCGAACTGGAGAGATTTGCGCGAAACGCTCGTTAAGCACGTCAAACGCGCAAAACGCTCAATTCGCCCCACGCCATTCGCGCGTATCGCGCTATTCGCACCGCGCAATTCACGTCATTTGAGCCACGCCATTCGCGCGTATAGCGCTGCAGGATGTCTATTTGCACGTATCGCGCCGCAGGATGTCTATTTGCACGTATCGCGCCGCAGGATGTCTATTTGCGCGTTTGCATTGACTTAACATGTAAATCACTCGCGCTTGATGCGCGTTCAGCGTCTGGTGTGAACCCAGCATCAAGGTTGTAAGAAAGAGCAAAGATTCACCAAGAGGCGACACTGTAGTGCGATTTGGGAAACAGCCACTAGATGTCGCTAGTGTCACGAATAAAAAAAACAACTGTTAGGGCCCTATCATACACCCCACGCAATGTGGCGCAATGCGCGACACAATTGTTGCTTGCTAATTTCAGCTTGGCGCAAGAGTTGTTTTGACTTTTTTGCGCCACGCTGTTTAAATAGCAAATGCATTTGCGCTCGTATGTGCATATGTCTTTCTCATGTGGATTTTAACAAATTATTTCCAACCTTTTTAGCACATTCCAGAGCCTCCTCTTCAGACCAGTGCATAATGCAGTCGACAATCTTTGCTGAACTGCTGCTGTCACAGTTGCATTGTTTGGCTGCAGTCTAAAATAAAAATCAACACGAGACCTTGATTTAAACAATAACATGTTGAAAATACACAAATACGAAAATATATACCTACCTGGGCTCTCTGAAAAGGATCAGCCATGACTAAACCATCCCAGAAGGCAGTTCCACTTTCTGCAATGGCGCGATGAAACAGTCCAGACGCCAGCGGGGAAAGAATCTTAAAGACATAACAATTTTGAACATGAATCAATGATTCTAGATTAATGATTTAGACTAATTAAGATACAAATAAAGACAAATACCAGCGTGGATACACTGATTCCTCCAGCAGACTCTCCAAAGATGGTCACTGATCCAGGATCTCCACCGAAGCTGTGGATGTTCTCCTGAACCCACTGAAGGGCAGCTACTTGATCCAGAAAACCATAGTTTCCTGGCGCATGCTCGTCTCCGGTGCTACAAAAAAAAAAAAAAATGTATTAATAAAAATAAAAATCATAAATAAAATAAAATAAAATAATCTAGATCTCTAATTAAAACGGGTAAAAATAAATAACAAAGTAAAGCTTAAATTGAGTACACGAGTGATGCAGCAAAATGATACATGAAACCCCCATTCCACAATAAACGTTTCATTTTTCACCATTTTGTAAAGAAATCTAATGATTAATTTTAGCTTTACAAATATAAACATTTACATTTGTAACAATTTTAGATTAAAATACAAACAATGATAATCAAAAACATGTATTTATTTGTGATTTGAATAAGTTATAATGAAATAAAGAGTAAAATACTTAACAATATGTAAAGGAGAATTTTTACACGCTGTCTGGAATACTTGCTTCAGATTCAGCTTCAGTTGCGACATTCAAAGTATGTTATTCCACGATAACAGCTGCTAAATAACGCAGGCTCATCTGGGAATTTCTAATCACCTTGATCATCAGTGACAAAGTTTACATCCAAATACATAGATCCACATTTATATGTTTCTGCTTGTCAACACTGTTTTGGACTGTTTTGACTTTTTGGAACCACCGTAAATAAATAATACGTAGGTCAGTATCGTTCAATCAGATTCCTTTGTCAGTCTTACTTTTTGACTGTTTGCTGCAATCTTCATTCCTTTATTTATTTTCTTTTCAGCTTAGTCTCTTTATTAATCCGGGGTCGCCACAGCAAAATAAACCGCCAACTTATCCAGCACATTTTTACCGCAGCGGATGCCCTTCCAGCCGCAACCCGTCTCTGGGATACATCAACACACTCTCATTCACACTCATACACTTTGGACAATTTATCCTACCTAATTCACCTGTACTGCAGGTCTTTGGACTGTGGGGGGAAACCGGAGCACCCGAAGGAAACCTATGCGAACGCAGGGAGAACATGAAAAACTCCACACAGAAGCGCCAACTGACACAGCCAAGGCTCGAACCAGTGAACTAGCGAACCAGCGGGGTGGGGGAGTTGGTGGCGAGGGGTAAGTGAGTAGGGTGGGGGGGGGATTAGGGGTGTGGGGGTTTGCATGTGTGAGGGGGCAATCAGTAAGTGAAGAGCTGGGAGGCGTGAGATGCGGGTTGAAAAGGGGCAGGCCAAATTCACGTTGTAGGCCAAATTGTGAATGCGTACCTTGGCTCTAAGGGTCAAACAACAAAAAAAAAATAAGATCAAGAATCTTGGGGTTCTGTAGTCAGATCTGAGATTCAGTAGTCATGTCAAAGTAGTAACTAAATCAGCATACTATCATCTTAAAAACATTGCATGAATCAAATGCTTTGTTTCCAGTGAGGACTTGTTCATGCTTTTATCAGCAGTAGGGTGGATTACTGTAATGGACTCCTCACTGGCCTTTCCAGTCAGACAGTTGCAGCTCATCCAGAAAGCTGCAGTCAGGATTCTGACCAGAACCAGAAAATTAGAGCACATCACACCTGTCCTCAGGTCTTTACTCTGGCTCCCAGTTACATTCAGAATAGTTTTTAAAGTATTACTACTTGTCTATAAATCACTAAATGGCCTAGGACCTCAATATATTACGGATATGCTCATTGAATACAAACCTAATACACCACTCAGATATTTAGTCTGTGTTTTAATCACTTTTATCATTTGTTTTCATGTTCTTATACTTGTCTCTTTTTTCCTGTTTTTGTAAAGCACTTTAGAATTGCCATTGTGTATGAAATGTGCTATAGAAATAAACTTGCCTTGCCTCCCTCTTTGGGGGCAGTCATAAGGCTAAAATGACCCCTTAGTGAAAATGAGTTTGACATCCCTGTTTCTATAGTCTTTCACCCACCTTAAGAACCCCAGAAGACCCAATCTGTACTGAATGAGCACCACGACCACATCCTGATACGCAGCCAGAACAGAGCCATCATACATTGAAGCCGATCCAAGAGAGAGTCCTCCACCATGAATCCAAACCATGACCTGGTACACACAATGAAAAACATCTCAAGCTAAATTCCATGAGGACACTGAAATCACAACCAAAAAAACTCTTGAACTTACTGGTAACTTCTTGTCTCCTTGTCCAGGTTTAACTGGGGTGTAGATGTTAAGATACAGGCAATCCTCCGAGACCTCAGGAACCTCCACATCCATCGATAGAAACTCCAGTTCAGTTACAGTCATTTGCCTTTCCTGGAGGCACCTAAAGAAAACATGCTAGCTTTAGATAAGGGAATTGATTAAACAAAAACCTCTGAATTGAAATATGGTTGTGTGCATTTTCTTACATCCGTGGCTGTTTGGTGGCATCTCTAACTCCTTGCCATTTCTCTGCAGCCTGTGGTCGAGCAAGTCTCAGGGGTCCTACAGGCGGCTTGGCGAACGGCACACCTAGATAACTATTGACTATTGTGTCCTTGCCCTTCACAGTCAAGAAGGCACCTCTCAGAGATCCTAGTTTTGTTTCTACTACAGGTCCTGGAAAAAAATAGATTAAAAAAATGTAAAAATAAAATTTAACTTGACTTAAAGTGCCACTATTACAATTTTAAAATAATTCCTGATTTTGTTTTGGAGGTTTCCTGCAATAGTAGAACACCCATCTAAGAGCAAATAACACATTTATTTTCATAACAAACATTATAGACTCAGTTCTTTACACACAGTGTCTAAAACAGTTCGTTCAACTGTGTATGTTTTCTCTTTATTCAGCCTTTCCAAGACTCTACCCTGCTCTGATAGGTCAGTCTGTTGTGATTGGGCAACTGCCTAGAGCTCATTACCATATCTGTATAGAAGTTGGCTGTGGCATCATGGGATAGCATAGCATCCATTGGATGCACAATTTAGAACCTCGCCAAAAGTAGTAAGTCATCCAGATACCTCTCGCATTCTATTTTGTAAACACTATGAATTCAGACATACTACTCTGCTCACATAGTTTTAATTTTATATATAATTAAATTTAAATAAAATTATATGTATTTTAAAAATGTTTATAGAAAATAATAGAAGGCACAACACATTTATTATATATATATATATATATATATATATATATATATATATATATATATATATATATAAATTTGTACATATATAATACATATATTTATAATAAATAAATAAATAAAGGTCCGGCCCAATTGGGAATAGATTTTCCTCCATGTGGCCCCTGAGCAAAAATGAGTTTGACACCCCTGCTTTAGAGGATATAGCAGGGACACTTTTTGTATCTCTGTGACCTAAAATTACAATTTTGACTGGCTTTTCTCAAAACATAAGCCATTATGTGCTTCATTTCTTGTATTTTGCTGTAAAAATATACAAAACACCTTCTTGATCTCATGAACCATTAGGCTCACAATAGTATTAATGGAAAAGAGCATTAAACAGTTCTTTATTATATACCAATTTCAAAACAGATCACTTGCCTTCCTTCCACTCTTTTATGATCTGCGGGAGTTTTTCGATCATGAAATGAAAGTGATTTCCCTTAAAGTTTTTGCTGGATTTCTGTTCCAGTCCAATACCAAGATACTCGGCTTCAGCTCCATATTTTGGCCACTCTACAAGGCCTGGACCATTCGGATTCCTGCCGTCGATGAAAAACAGGACAGACATTATAATGTGAAACTGTCATGTGGAATAATGTGCGGCCTGATTTGTGCAGTTTACTTGAACAAAAATGCGTATAAAGACATGGATGTGACTTAGTTATTACAACATTGAGGTGGTTTACGAAAACATGTGTGGTGTCCTTGTAATTAGAAATGCTTAAAACAAACGTAATGGTGTCTTTTGCCATTGAAAATTTTCCACAGGTTTCCAGTGAGGGTTGGGTTTAGGTGAAGGTCAATATAATAATCGATTTTTTTACAATACAAAACACATTATGCCTATGGAGCGTCCTTATAAACCACCAATACTAATCTTGGTGAGTTATAATTAACATAAATTATTTTGGTTTCTCTAAAACCACGGAAAATAGACAGTACAAAATATAAAAAGTTATTTATTTTGGCTAACCAAGATGAACTTGAGAATTTTCAAAAGTAAATGAATGTATTACATTATTTATATATAGAACAATATGTATATAGATCTACATTTTTCACCCTTAACCTATAAGAAACTGTAATATCACTAATGCCATCATTTACCCAGTGCGAGCAAAGTTTCCCCAGTAAGCCATGGTAGTTTTACAAAGTTCTTGTTCTTCCTTTGAGAGTTCACCTGCATTTTGAGGTACAAACAAGAAGATGTGGAGTTAGGAAGCTTAAAAGTGTAATCAAATCCCATTAGTCTCAATAATTTGACAGAGTTTCCTGAATATTACCATGAGAAAGCATTACGACTATGGTATTATAAAACATATTAATAACAAACCATTACTTAAGGTAATTTACACTGTACCTTCCACCTTTATGTGTCCATTTCCAAAGCAATAACCAAAAACAAATAAAAGTTCATCTCCATGATCACATCCAACAAAGCTGGGTCTTTTGTTTTGAAATATATAGGCAGGATGCTGGAATTCATACATGTACACTGGTGCACCAGTATCTATTAAGGGGGAAAAAAGTATTTAAATAAAGAAAACTTTGGCATAACCATTTTTTTATTTATAAATGTGCGTAAAAACGGTGAACTTTACCTCTGTGGTAATTCGCTAATTTGCGAGCTGGGAGGTTGAAAAAGAAGTCCCCCACTATTTCTCGAAAACCATCTCGGATTTTGATCTTGTCAGTGGTTGCGCCCAGATATTCTTTTAAAACAATCTCAGCAAGTCCTGGATCCTGAAGCTAAAAAATATATAAATACGAAAAAAATAAGATTTTTTTAAAACTCACTATATCAATAATTTACAATTAAGTAAGTTATTTTTAAAATAAATATTTAAGTCAATATGTTTTTACTTCATATATTAAATATTTCCATTAACTTTGAAAGATTATGTGCATTTTAGTTTCATTTATATTGAATGAAATCTGATGTGGTCAATTCTGTGAATGCTGGGGGTGACCTGTACCTCAGCCCTTACGAACTAATAGGCATGATCTAAATGATCCTTTTACAATAGCTGTAAGCCTTTTGAGTTCTTAATGTGTACAAGCCAAACAACTGATAAGATGGTCCTGTTGAGCTTAGTTAACACAGAGTGATTTGTTTGTAGCTAGTATAAATGTCAGTCTCACAGACAATACTTTGGATTAAGTTACTTGAAGACAGACGGGTTAACATCGATGCTGAGGAACTATACTATTCGCTGCCTTCAACAAAGTCTTATCTCCATAAGAACTTTGGTCAGCTTTCTTATTTTATGTATGAGAATGGTTAAGCCAAATACAGCAAATTCTAACAATTTGGCGAGCCAGCCAGGAGCGTTTAAGCCAAATACAGCTGAATCTAACAACTTCTAGGACTTCCATTGTTTAGTAACAAACATCAGTCTGCTTATATACATTTGATGTTCAGAAGTAAAACAAATATATAGTGAGATATATGTTAGCAAGACTGAAATTACAATACGTGCTGTTATCTTCTTACATTAACATTTTAGTTCAGTTGCATTTACATTGAATGAAATCTGATGTGGTCAATTCTGTGTATGCTGGGGGTGAACTGTGCCTCTACCCCTACAAACTAATAGGTGTAATCTAAATGGGTAATTCTAAATTCTCAATAGGTACAAGCCGAACAACAGCTGAAACATCTGATAAGATGGTCATGTTGAGCTAAGTAAACACAGAATGGATTGTTTGGAGATGGTATAAAGTTCTCACAGACAATACTTTAGGAAAAGTTACTTGAAGACAGACGGGTTAACATCGATGCTGAGGAACTGTACTATTCACTGCCTTTAACAAAGCCTTTTCTCCATAAGAACTTTGGTCAACTTTCTTATTTGATGTATGAGAATGGTTCAGCAAAATACAGCAAACTCGAACAATTTGACGAGCCAATGTAGGAACAAAGGAATTTATTTTTATTACATATGTGTCTTTATTTTTTATTAGAAAAATGGTTAGACTAACAACATATTAATCAATCTTTTTCTGTTGTATAATAGCACATTTGACCTGACACACTTCCTCTTTTTTTACTGTGCTGCATACTTTTTAGAAGAACTGCTGACTAGTGGAAAAAGCAGAATGAGAACAAATTAAGGTTTGTTCAAGACTGCTGTCTGGACATGTCACAAGTTGTCATGATCTTTGTAGAAGTTGTGAAATATATTAAAAATGTACATAATTGTTCAGTTCTGTATGCAGAGAAGGGTTGCAGAAAGAGGAAGTATGTCTAGGGGTTACAAAGAGCCAAAGGACTGCAGAATGACTGATAAGTGACGTTAAACCAAAACTCCACCTGTTAAGATCAGTTGTGTATATATGCTGGAGTCAGGAAATGGATGTTAGTTGTGAACCTCTTGAATGTAATTCTTGTATTGCATTGGGGTAACGTAACCCAGAGCTCTGTCATCGAATTATTCATTTGTATCTAATAAATTACTAATATTTTTGACATTGAAGAAAACACTCTCCACACCTTTTCTTATTGAACAAGCATGGAACTGGCTTGATATTCCAACACCAAACAGTAACGTTTAGGCCAAATACAGCTAAATCTAACAACTTCTTAGACTTCCATTGTTTTTTAATAAACTATCAGTCTGCTTATGAAGATTTGAAGTTCAGAAGTAAAACAAATAAAAGGATATATGTTAGCAGAACATAAATTACAATATGCAATGTTTTCTTACATTACCTGCAATGAACATATAAAGAGAACTAGACAACAAAACACTGCTGGACCATGACCAGGAATTGCCAAACATTTTAAATTAATTCTTGGGTTGTTCTAATCCTCTAAGACTTTAGTTAACCCTCTTTAGATTCAATTTAAATGAGGTATAGTTTCATGAAGGAACGAGGATTGCTTATTTTTCTGGCAAAAATACCAAATTAACAATACTTTTTTGAAATTAACATTTCATGCTTTACGGCGTAGGTGTCAATTTGTAGAGCGAAACAAATGCTCTGAAATTAAAAACAGATGATTAATTTATTGCTAATAGTTCCCAATAACCTTTCTTGGCCTTTGAAGTACAAATCATTTACTTTATTTAGGTATTTATTTAAAATATCTTCGACTGTATTCCAAAGGTTGAACGAATGTCTTCAGGGAACTGGAACATTCCCTTTGAATACATCTAATAATAATTGATAGGAGAAAAATAAACTTATTAAAAGTCATTGATTAGCACAATCTGATAATTAAAAAGATTAAAAACTTGTCTTACATCATAATTATATGTAGGCAAAAATGGCATGATCTGATCTTTGGTCATTCCATCTCTCCATCCTGGGGGTGCAATGAACTACAGAAAAAAATAGATCAATGACTTTGAATTTGTATTTGCATATATATTTGCACACACACACACACACACACACACACACACGCAAATATATATATATATATATATATATATATTAGGGCTGCACGATATTGGAAAATTCTGACATTGCAATATATATATACTGTGATATGAATACAATTTCACCACATGACCTGAATAGCTCTGTTTAATAAGAATTCAGGTACAGAAATAAAAAATAAATTACAATTAAAACAATTAAATGAAATAATTTGTATTAAAGTTACAAATGGTACAATTTCTTGTGCCTGAATGCTTAAACTCTCTTAATACGCTCGTACAGTCCCAGGCCTTAAATAAACAGATGTAAATGCTAAAACATTTGCTCCATAAAAATCTTCAATGACTAAGGCTCTTGGTCAAATCTAATCTCAATTCAACATTGCAGATCATGCAATGTGAATACTGCGGGTGTACAATGCGATAACGATGCTAAAATGATATATTGTGCAGCCCTATATATCATTTACATTTTTATTTAATAATTTATTTATAATAAGTTTTTCTCATTACTTCAGGTAGAGTGAATCCACCATCATCATCAGTAACTCCAGTCATCAAAGGCACTTTGCTAAACTCTTGAGACTGAAGAAGCTCATCCACAGATTTCGGAAGGAACTGCCCATCAACGGTCACTCCAAAACGAAGCAATACCTGCTCCTGTAAAATGAGCATGACATATGCAAAAACATAATTTAAAGTTAATAATTCAAACTGTATTTTTACCTACAATGAAAGTCAATGGTAATTATCAGAATCTCAGACACCAATATTTCTCAAAAGATCTTCCTTTGAGTTCAACAAAAAAAATAAACTAATATGTTTAGGCATTTTTAAAAGAGTTTGATTTCGATAGTACTTTTAAATTTGCAGTACATTTCAGTTTTATTTTAGTTCATTTAATTAATGTTTTGGTTAGTTTTAGTTTAGTTTTATTAAGTGAACACATTTCTGTTTAGTTCTTATATATTTTGTTTCAGTTTTAGGCTTTAGTTATTCAGGTTTAGCAGAGTTTTTAACTCGTTAACACTTCAACACCTGCCACTGTTTCTAGTAGCCTCAGTCAAGCACATGATTATATAAAAAACAGTTTCTTCATTTACAAAAAAAGTAAACGAGGCATGATTAACTACATAACTTTAATATGAAGACATTTGTTTAAATTCTTCACAAGTTTCACTTTTATTTGTTTGGTTTTGGATTCAGTGTTTGTTCAAAGAATTATTTTATTTTTATTATTATGTTAAAAGTTAACTTAAAGGAGGCCTATTATGGCCCATTTACATGATGTAAAATAATTCTCTGATGTACTTTTTGGATTGTGAATGTGAAGTTTCAACTCAAAATACTACACAAATAATTTTTTAGAACTCTTTGAAACTGCCTCTTTTAGACTTTGGTCCAAATTGCGCCATTTTGGTGACTGTTACTTTAAATTCAAATGAGATTTTGAGTGATCTTTTCAAAAGAGGGCGGGGCTACAAATGTGTTAGCACAGTGGCAGATTCAAAACAGGACTAATGTCAGGAGGATGTCAATAAAAATTAATGTCAATCAAAATTTTGGAAGTGTGATTATTTTATATATATATATATATATATATATATATATATACACATACATACACACTCACTTTATTAGGTACACCTGTCCAACTGCTTGCTAATGCAAATTTCTAATCAGCCAATCACATGGCAGCAACTCAAAGTATTTAGGCATGTAGACATGGTCAAGACGATCTGCTGAAGCTCAAACTGAGCACCAGAATGGGGAAGAAAAGTGATTTAAGGGACTTTGAACGTGGCATGATTGTTGGTGCCAGAAGGACTGGTCCGAGTATTTCAGAAACTGCTGATCTACTGGGATTTTCACGCACAATCATCTCTAGTGTTTACAGAAAATGGTCCAAAAAAGAGAAAATATCCAGTGAGCAGCAGTTCTGTGGACGCAAATGCCTTGTTGATGCCCGAGGAGAATGGCCAGACTGGTTCCAGCTGATAGAAAGGCAACAGTAACTCTTATAATTTTTGAAAATGATGATTTATTTGCTAATTATTATTTTATTTGTGTTTTTCAGTGACTCGTGTTATTTTCGATTAGTGTTTTTACAATTTTATTTCAGTTAACGGAAATATTTTTCGATCAACAGTTTTAGATTTATTCTATTGGTAAATGATGAACGCATAAATAATCTTTACGCATAATAATCAGCGTCATTATCCTCAAGTCTAATAATAGATTGATTAAAAAAATGAAATGCAAACCCTGGCAATCTTCAATATGTCCTCTTCGGTCATCTGCATAACACAGTCAACAATCTTCTTTGTGCTGGAAATATCACAGCCAGACACGTTTCCTAAAGACTTCAGAAAGACGTGCATTTGCAGTAAACATCTGTACTTTACATAATGAATTAAAATTAAACTTGTAAACATTTCCTAATGAATTTACTCGGGCTGTTGACAGTGGGTCGGGACTCATTATAGCGTTCATTGCTGCCGTACCGCTCTCTGCGATTGCACGATGAAACAGGTTAGCAGATAACGGGGAAAGAACCTACCGAAAGAAAATGAAATGTAGGCAAAACACAAACATTTATTCAAAACCATCAAGATGATTAACAGAATTGACTTGTTTAGACGTTGTGTGTAAATCCTTACAAGTAAAGACGCACTGACTCCTCCAGCAGACTCTCCAAAGACGGTCACTGATCCAGGATCTCCACCGAAGCTGTGGATGTTCTCCTGAACCCACTGAAGCGCAGCTACCTGATCCAGAAGACCATAGTTTCCTGGAGCATGCTCATCTCCGGTGCTAAATGGTCATTTGGTATGAGAGAAATAATCTTACAAACGTTGAAAAAATAGTCTACATGTTTTATATTTTACATATTCTTCTATTTTTTTATATTAAGGCGTTGTTATATTTTGCTATTTCTGTCTAATTTCTGTAAGTTGCATCGGGTCACAGAAGCAAGTTATCTTATGCTATGTTCACACCAGACGCGGAACGCGTGAATAAACCGTGCTATTTTGCGCGTGAATAGACGCATAAATAGACGCGTGAACATTTGAGTTTGCTCGCTTTATTTACGCATGAAAATCCGCTTCAAAATCCGTGTTTATGTGCTTTATGAAAAACAGCCTTGATATGTTTAGGGCTGTGTCTGAGTCCACTAGATCCTTTCAGAGGTGAACCCAGCTCTGCAAGCTCATAAACTCCTCCAGAAATTTAACCTGGATGATGGAGTCTTTCAGCGGTGCTTCTGACTGAGCCGAGCCCACTTTGATGAACTGTATTCGGTGTGTGCAGGAGGATTTTCCCCCGGGACACCAACAACAGGCGCTATTACATAATCAAACCCCCACAAGAGCAAGCTCCTGATTAGTAAACGTATCGCGAATGTCCGCTGAAGTTCAGATTTTTGAACTTGGGCGATTTGCGTGAAACACGCGTCAAACCGCTCAATTTATGCCACGCCATTTGCACGTATTGGGCCGCAGGTTGTCTATTTGCGCATTTGTATTGACTTAACATGTAAATCACTTATGTAAATTCCCCTGTTTCCCGAATGTAGTTTAATTACTAAATTAGAAAATCACTTATTTCAAAAATGAATTTCATGCAAAGAACAAAGTAAGAACTTTGATCACAAGTATTAGTAAATAATTTGTGTGAAAGGGAAAACCAAACATCAAGTCATGATCGCTGGCTGTTTTTGTTTACCATCAAGCTCCTAAAAGTCCGCCATTCCCAATATAAGATAAATACAGCTGTGCAATTCTATTAAAATGTTTACTTTTGTGTGCGTTTACATTACTTAAAGGTGCCATAGAATGAAAAAACGAATATACCTGGTGTTGGAAGTTTGTGGCTTCAGTCTCTATCCGGGTCACGGAACCAAATTGTAAGAAATTTCACATTCCAAACCTGTAGACTCATTTCAAGCAAGATTTTTTTTTGAGAATGTGTTGGTAGTTCTCCAGTCAAACAGGCATCTTCAAAAAAGTCTCCAAGAGTCTGAAACAAGTCTCCTGGTTTGGGTTCTGAAAATTCCTACAATTTGGTGCCATGACCCCGATAGAGAAACCACAAATTTCCAACACTAGGTATAGATCTAAAGTTTAGTACCTGAAGTGTAAAAACAGGCCAGTCGGAACAAAACACAGGCTGTTATGCTGCATTTGACTAAACATTTGATTGGCCATAGCATTTCCTAGTTAGATTACAACAATTTTATATATTGTATCGAAAATGTATCCGCTTAATTTTTGAGTTTAACATAGCGTGTTTTAATTGTAATGTTTTTGGGACTCTTATTTTAAAAACAGGACAGGCATTAGCTCTGGGGTATGTCACTGCAACAGAATCTTATCTTAATTGGTAAGTGAGTGATCAGTGGTCTTTATTTGTTTATTCAGATGGCAAAGTTAGTTTGTATCGTCAGCAGTACTCTTTCAGTGTTTAAAGATATACCCAAGTCAAAATGATTTAGTTACTAAGTTTACAGTGGGTTAATATCACTACAGTATTATAGACTGAAAAATTTGCGACTCTCCGAGTGTAAACATGTAAACACCACAGTCAAACTATTACTGTTGTGTAGGATTTTCACAGCATTTTGTGATGAGACAGTCTATACACGCACAGCTTTCTGACGCGACCTACCAGGTGCATCTAAATAACCGAGAAACGCAGAAGGTTTTTTTCTCCTATTCGCCATGCGGTATCAAACATTCCATTAAAACTTCAGTAGTTCCTCGCATGAAATATCTCATTTGTCACGGGGGGCATGCATGAAATGTTCCTGAATGAAAATGAAAGCACCAAACTGCAGTTAACAAATTAATAATTAGGCAAATAATTTAATTACTGATGTTCATGTAAACATAGTCCTTGTCTTTCTCCCGTGTCTGTTTATTTTGCTTCTGTGAAAATCAGCGCGTGCCCTAACGGAAACTCCCATTTTTATGCAAGCCCTTCTCTCTTTTCCTCCCCCGACACTCCTATGTAAACAAAGCTGGACATGCCCACTTTTCTGACAAACTAGAGGTGTGAAAACATCCTGCTGAGACAGGGGGGTTTCGTGGCACTTTTAAAACCTCAGCAAATGAGTTAAGTCAGGGGTGCTTAACCCTGTTCCTGGAGATCTACCTTCCTGCAGATTTCAGTTGCAACCCTTATCAAACACACCTGTTTGTTATTATCAAGTGCTGTTCAGGTCCTAATTAATTGGTTCAGGTGTGTTTGATCGGGGTTGGAGCTAAACAATGTAGGAAGGTAGATCTCCAGGAACAGGGTTGAGCACCCCTGAGTTAAGTAAACAACAACAAACCATTATTTCAGATGTGGAATGTTGGTTTCATACACACACAAAAAAAAAACACTGTAATAAAAGTATATACACTGTTAGAAAATGTCAGTGTAAAATAACTGAAGCAGGACTCTGAATGAAGTGAAAGCCCACAGGATCAAAAGTGTTTGACCAAATTTGACCAAACTCCCAATGTTTTACCTGAAAAATCCAAGCAGGCCAAGTCTGTACTGGACCATGACCACCACTATGTCTTGATAAGCAGCCAAAGCATGTGCGTCAAAAATGGAAGCAGATCCAAAAGCTAAACCTCCGCCATGAATCCAGACCATGACCTATTTCACAGCACGTATTAAAGAGAAACCATTAACCAACCGATATACACTACATATGCCTAAAAACAGAATTTCAGACCAAATACGTACAGGTAACTTTTTGTTGTCTCCAGGTTTGGAAGGAGTGTAAATGTTGAGGTAAAGACAGTCCTCTGACACTTCTGGGAACTCCGTTTTCAATGGCATTGTAGCTAGCAAGTCAACCATAACCTCCTTTGGCTGGAGACACCTGAATAAAGGAACACAACGTGTCATTTGTTCAATAGGAAAATGACTGATCATTTTAGTACATTAGTTGGGTTGTATTCTCACATGGGCGGCTGCTTGGTGGCATCTCTTACTCCTTGCCATGCGTCTGCAGGCTGTGGTGGAGTCAACCTCAAAGGACCCACCGGAGACTTAGCAAAGGGTATAGCAAAATAGCTACTGATGACAGAGTCCTTCCCCTTCGCCATCATGTAGGAACCTCTTAGAGATCCTAATTTAGTGTTTACTACAGGTCCTGGTAAAATCAGATGTGTAACAAATCTTGATTATTTTTGTCGATAGTCAATTGTGAAATGAAGCTAAATCCGAACACTTGCCTTCCTTTCGCTCACTTAATATCCTTGGAAAAGTTTGGGTCACGAAAGTGAAGTGTTTTCCCTTCAGGTCAGTGCTGGCTTTCGGATCCAGACCAATACTGAGATATTCGGCTTCATCTCCAAACTCAGGCCACGATGTGAGACCTGGACCATTTGGATTCCTGCCATCAGGGAAAAAGTGTGTGGAATATAGTTTAATATATATGCATGTGCCAAAATCTACACTGTAAAAAAATGCTTGGTTCCACACAATCCATATGTGTTGGGACATCATGAAGGAATTCAAATTTAAGTGTATTGAACATAAAACGATTAAAGTTCATCAACATCGTTTCAGCTCATTTTAAATAAGTGGTTTGAACAAACATTCATTTAAGAGTTCACACTTAGCTAATGATTGATAATGAGCAAGTTAGGCATGCTGTCCCGGGAGAGAGCCCTGAGGTCAAAGGTCCTTGAGCCCTGGGCTCCCTCCTGTTTGCAAGGCGGGAGAGGAGCTCAGTGCTCAGGTAGGTCTCGAGAACTCCACCTTTTTTGATAAGAGCTGATGACAAAAAAATGACTGGTATGAAGAGATATGCTGCTGGATGAGAGTTTGACTGCAATGCTAAATTTAGATTGATCAATTCACTTATGGTGCATGTTTTTTTGAATGTGGGAGAAAACCGACGCGAGCACGGGGAGGAACATGCTAACTTCACACAGAAACGACAGCCAGCCTGTATAAGGACATGGTTCTACACTGTAAACAATAATTCCGTAAAATTTACGGTAACATAAATCTCTAATGTACATAACTAATGGGGAAACAACTAAAAAGATCCATAATAATGTCAACCAAATGCATAAAAAGTGATGTGCCATGCAGGGAATTCTGGGAAAGTCAATTTACGGTTATTTGCCGTATATATTAAGGAAACAGAACGTTAACCAGGTTACAGATTTGTACTGTAGCATTTTTACAGTTTTTTACCGTTGAAATCACGGCCATTTTTTACAGTGCAGTGACATTCTTGGTGTGAGGCAACAGTGTTACGATTTTTACAATGGCTATGAGAGTTTTTTCAATACATTTCACAAGTTTCCTAAACTCTTAACACACCAACACACCTGAAACACACAATTGGCAAAACAGTAAACTTCATGCTCATAATCACACATTGTAAACTAAATCTCTAAACTAATGTTCAAAATACAATAATAAACTAACACACCATGCCTAACAAAACACTGCAAACATGTTTCAAAATGAAAAAATGGTAACACTTTACAATAAGGTTCATTAGTTAATGCATTTACTAACATGAACTAATCATGAACAACACATGTACAGCGTTTATTAATCATAATTGAACATTTACTAATGCATTATTAACATCCAAGTCTATGGTTGTTAACGTTGGTTAATGCACCATGAGTTAACATGAACTAACAATGAACTACTGTCTTTTCATTAACTAACGTTAACTAACATGAACAAATACAGTAGTAAATGTGTTGTTCATTGTTTGTTCATGTTAGTAAATGCATTAATTAACATTAACTAATGAACCTTATTGTAAAGTGTGACCGAAAAAATTGTTCAAAACACTAACACGTTCTCTTCAAACAGGGACATTTAGTCAATCAGAACACATTGACAAAAAAAAAAACACTATCATCAGCTGACATTACAGAAACTGCATTAGTTTATGTGTCAGCTCTGCCCTTATATTTGAAGCCTTAATACAGTTTTGTTTTGTTGGGTTTAGTAAATACAGGCATTTTCTTTCTTTTACTGCAAAAATTAAATACAAAACATAAGGAAAAAATGCTTTATAAAATTTACAGTTTATGTAAAAAAAAAAAAAAAATACAGACACAGAATTGCAGCAGTAAAGACTTTAGTTGCAAAAGGACACGACTGCAAGATATACAAACAGAAAGAGCACCGCAATTGTAATAATAAAAAAGTAAACTTCTATTTTGCCCGGGCTTCTGAGTTTTGCCACATGTTCTCATCCATATTACACTTGGTATTTTCTAGGTATGCCACGGTTCTCAATATAATATTGAACCGTTCGGTACGACCTCCACGGTTTAGTAAGCGATTGTGAAGTGTTTTCTCGGTTTTGCATATAAATAATTTATGTGCGTTTTATATCTCCCCGAATTGACTGTGTGTGACTGTAAGTCCATGAGCTGAGATGAGGAAACTCCTCCCTACAAGGAAATATCCAATCACTATGTTCTAAAGGGGGCGCTTGACATTGCACTGAAAGGCACAACTCTCACCGTGAGATGTTTTCTACTGCGTGCGCCTGGACAGAGGCAACCGCGTTGCTCCGCTTGTGCGCGCATATTGTCATATATTCTTACATTTGATATATAAAAACTTGCAGGCGGAAAAGACGTGATATGGGAATGGCCGTTGCTATAGTTAATCTGGTGTGCGTGCTTATTAGCCTCGGTATACATACTTGGAACTTTAAACTAGCGCACAGTTGGCAAATTGTCATAACTTTTCAGTGCAACAGAAATGCGGCTTAGAAAAGCCTTTACGATTAATTAACTGTGACGAATTAAAGCGCAGTTAATAGTGAAATCAGCTAATCGTTGCATCCCTATTAATGATTACAGTGCATTGTACAAAAGGCATTTTCTACAAAACATATCCAAATGTTTTCGGCTGTCTGCACCACTCGCTTATGGTGACTCATCCTTTTATTGAGCCATTTTGTTCTTTATTATGATGTAATTTTTATACCACATTGACATTTCTGACTTTATGGTATATCCCCTACCCTGTATGAGCAAAGTTTCCCCAGTAAGCCATGGTGGTTCTGCAGAGTTCATCTTCTTCATCTGAGAGATTCTCTGAATGAAAACACAAAGACATCGACTGAAAACACTAAAAATTCACGCTAATTTTTTACATTATCAACTGTTGTGATTAAACATATGTTTAAAGTATTTAAAACCTACTTTTGCAAACTAGTTTTAGGTCTTACACTCAATCTCAAGACTGGCGGTTGTATCAACCTTCCCATTTGGACAGCTGTAACAGTCCCATTCACAAAACTGACTGGCCAAAAGCGTGGCCAAATATTGCTGAAGGTCTATTATTTAAGATTTGGTGAGCATAATTCTAACAAAACATTCTGATCAACTTGGCTTGATTGATTGAACTTGTTGGATTTGATTGATAATCCTCATTGTTAGAATATGGCTCAGACTGATACAGTAAAACCAATTACTAATTAAAGCTGCAAGCAGCGATGAAAAGGACCTAGCAACCGTGCTCCCCGTCTCCCAGAGGCCTTAGGATGACAGAGAACAGTGGATACTAATAATTTAAGCTAATAAATATATATAAAAAACTGAGAAAATCACTGATTTATGCCAAACTTCCTTCTTCGTGGCACTCTGACTATAACTTAATATTGGCATGTGGATGTCTTCAGCAGAGGAATCTCGTCGAACATGTGAATTTCCAGGCAGATCAGACATTGTTTGAAAGAAAAAGAAGTCAAAAAATTAAGTCGAAGAAGTTCGAAAAAAAGTCGAAGAAGTCAAAGAAGAAGAAAAAGAAGTTAAAGAAAAAGAAGTCGAAGAAGAAGTTGAAGAAGAAGTCGAAGAAGAAAAAGAAGTCGAAGAAGTCGCAGAAAAAGAAGTTGAAAAAGTCCAAGATAAAAAAGTTCAAGAAGAAGTCCATGATGTCAAAGAAGTCAAAGAAAAATAAGTCCAAGAAAAAGTTGAAGAAGTCCAAGTCGAAGAAAAAGAAATTGAAGAAGTCGAAGAAAACGCTGAAGAAAAAGTAGAAAAAAAGAAGTCGAAGAAATCAAAAAAAGTCGAAAAAGAAGAAGTTGAAGAAGAAAAAGATGTCGAAGAAGTCGAAGAAAAAAAAGTTGAAGAAGTTGAAGAAGTCAAAGAAGAAAAAGTCAAAGAAGTCAAGAAAAATAAGTTGAAGAAGTTAAAGAAAAATAAGTTGAAGAACTTGAAGAAGTTAAAGAAAAATAAGTCAAAGAAGTTGAAGAAGTTAAAGAAAAATAAGTCAAAGAAAAAGAAGTCGAAGAAGTCGAAGAAGAATTTGAAGAAGTAAAAAAAGAAGTCGAAGAAGTCGAAGAAAAAGCAGAAGTCGAAGAAAAAGAAGTCGAAGAAAAGAAGAAGAAAAAGTCAAAGAAGTTGAAGTTAAAGAAAAAGAAGTCGAAGAAGTTAAAGAAGTCGAAGAAAAAGCAGAATTTGAAGAAGTCGAAGAAGTCAAAGAAAAAGAAGTCAAAGAAGAAGAAAAAGTCGAAGAAGTCGAAGAAAAAGTCAAAGAAGTCGAAGAAGTCGAAGAAGAAGTTTAACTAGAAGCTGAAGAAGAAGAAGAAGCAGAAGAAGAAAAGAAGAAGAAGAAACAAAGTTATTCCAATAGTCCCTTAGCACCATAGGTGCTTGGTCCCTAACTATGTGTGTTTACAACAGATTTAGAGCGTTTGGAAAGGGACTAGGTAAAGCATGTTTTATTTTCAACATAATGCACTGGGTCAGGTGACTAATCAGAGTACTCTGGAAATTAAAAAAGAATGGGCATTTATTTAACAGCCTCAATCATTCATTTATTTTTCATCAGGGGTCACCACAGCAGAATGAACCGCCACCTTATCCAGCAAGTGTTTTACACAGTGGATGCCCTTTCAGCTGCAAGATGTCAATGCAATTTTAATTAATTGCACAGCCCTAATGTCAACGACCCCTAACACTTTAAGACCTGTGCAAACCCTGGGTAATGAATGTTTTGTCATCAACATTTTAGCTGAAATCTTGCTAATATGACCACATCCTCTGTGTTCTTCCAAAACAATAAAAGCATGTTTCCTAACATTACTTGGCTTGTACCTGCCATCCCTATGGGTCCTTCTGAAAAGCAGTAGCCGAAAACGAACACAATTTCATCTCCATGGTCACTTCCAGAAAAACTGGGTCTTTTCCTCTGAAGTACACTGGGGGGATGACGGAATTCATACACGTACACCGGTGCGCCCGCATCTAGAAAAGCACAGAATCTCTTTATGCTCTACCTTTAACCATAACTGAAACAGAAGCTACAGCACACTGAAAGATCTCTCACCTCTGTGGTAACTTGCCGTTTGTCGAGCTGGGATGTTGAACATGAAGTCTCCTAACATTTCTCGAAAACCATCTCGAATTCTGATCCTGTCAGGGGATGTGCCCAGATACTCATTTAAAAGAAGCTCAAGAACTGACTGATCTTGAAGCTAAAGGAAATGAAAACAGATAGGCATAATGTCATTGCTGTATCGAATTACATGTTCAGAGTAAATCAATTGTTTAAACAAATTAACCTAATAAATGAAGCGCAATAAGTAACACTTAAAATAAAGTCTCACACATCGGCAAGTGCTCAGGTAGGGCTCAACGTGCCTTTACTTTTGTCTTCTGTTGTTGTTGTTATTCTTCAATAAACATCGGTCATATCAGGAGCGTACTTAGCAATTTGGGTGCCCTGAGCAATTCCCGGTATGGGGCCATTAGGGATGCTCATCTCGGTTAACGCTTTTGGAACGCTATTGTTTTGTGTTATGTATTTGTCATTAAGATATAAACATTACACAAATAAAGTACTATAAAGGTTTATATACTCACAGCAGGATTGAACACAGTCAAAAGTGGCAAGATTGACTCCAGGTCGAGCCCATTGATCCAATCTGGAGGTAAAAGGTACTACAAACAAACAGTTGAAAATGTAGTATAATGTACTAATTGAGGTTCAGATTCTGGATAAAACAAATATTATGCATTGCATTTTTTTACAGCTTTTTAAAGTTAAAAGAAGTGTCTTTACATTGGGCAGCACAAATCCAATCTCATCATCAGTGACTCCGGTCATCAGAGGCACTTTGTTAAACTGCTGCGACTGAAAAAGCTCTGCTGCAGGTCTTGGAAGAAACTGGCCATCGATCGTCACTCCAAAACGAAACAGAGGATTCTCCTGTTTAAATAGACAAGCATGTGCAAATTAGGGATGCTCATTTTGGTTAATTCTGCCACTAGACAACTGCCGCTCTCTAAGTAAATACGAACGATAAACTGGTCAGATTAATGGGCGACGCAGCGGCGCAGTAGGTAGTGCTGTCGCCTCACAGCAAAAAGGTCGCGGGTTCGAGCCTCGGTTGGGTCAGTTGGCGCTTCTGTGTGGAGTTTGCATGTTCTCCCTGCGTTTGCATGGGTTTCCTCCGGGTGCTCCAGTTTCCCCCACAGTCCAAAGACATGCGGTACAGGTGAATTGGGTAGGCTAAATTGTTCGTGGTGTATGAGTGTATGTGTGAATGTGTGTGTGTGAGTAATGTCTCCCAGAGATGGGTTGTTTAATTAATGCTCTGCTGTTATATTATTATATCACAAACCTCTGTCAACATTTTTAGTATAAGTCATTAAAGATAAATATTATGTCTTGAGCATCTGGTTTGACCTTAGAGCTGGTGTGCTTTTATTTCCTCTCTTTAGTTCCTTGTGCGCGGGCTGCGAGCTATGAAAGACAATGACGAGGCTCATTTGGTGACTTTTAGTAAAGTATAGGCTAGTATAGGCATAAAACAAATTTGTTGTTTACATATGATGTTGCAATCATTTGCATACATGTAAGCTGTAAAATGAAAGCTTCAGTTTGGTGCAGCCGATCTCACCGAACGCACTTTTCCGTTCCAAAAACGCAACAGCACACAGCAGTTTTTGTTGACAAGAAAAAAAAAGTGCAGTGCGCTTTTTTATGTCCCTACAAAATGACTAAATCAGCTGCGTATTGTGCGAAAGTGTTGCTGTCAATGTTGCTGTAATGGTAATATTAAATAATATTGTGATATACAAGATTTGTAAAGTCATACAGCTCTGGATAACTTCAAACAGGGACCACTAGTCTCTGCTCTATTATTAAAAGTTCTCTGTAGTCGTCTTGACAACACTAACACTGCTGTCACCTCAACGGAAACCCTGCCTCTGCTTTCATTTGATAGAAGAATGAAAAAGCTTAAAAACGTGAGGCGAGCAGGGCACATGAGCAGCTTGCAAAACCCTCACGGCCATTACTAAACCATTCAAAAGATGTGCCTCTAATGCAAAAAGCGCATTCGCTGTGACCAGCCCCTTAAGCAGCCGAACTTTAAATATATATAAAATAAATTTTTTAATAATTTAATTGATCCCATTAATTGTTTTAAAAATGCACCCTTTCGGTTAATGGTTAATCTGCTATTTTGAGCATCTCTAGTGCAAATATTAAAATTCGCATGACGAACTAAGGATTAAACACAGGTTTTGAGAGAAAACCTAGGTAGGTTGACAGACAAACCATTGTAATCTTCAGTATCTCCACTTCTGACTTCTGCATCAGACAGTCGACAATCTTTTTTGTGCTGGAAATATCACAGCCAGATGCATTTCCTATAGCCTGGAGAAAAAGAAAAAAATGAAGCAGTTTACGTCAAGTTTCTTTAATACCCCCGCTGAAAAATCCATCTTAAACCAGCCTAGGCTGGTTGGCTGGTTTTAGTTGGTTGACCAGCCTGGTTTTAGAGGGGTGTTGGCCATTTCCAGGCTGGTTTTCAGCCATTTACAGCCTGGTCTTAGCTGGTCAGGCTGAAAAATGACCAGCTTAATCCAGCTAAAACCAGCTTGACCAGCCTGGTTTAAGCTGGACATAGCTGGTTTTGGCTGGGCTCTCAGCCTGGCTAGGCTGGTCAAGCTGATTTTAGCTGGTCATCTCCCAGCCTGACCAGCTAAGACCAGGCTGGAAATGGCTGGAAACCAGCCTGGAAGTGGCCAAAACCCCTCTAAAACCAGCCTGGTCGACCAGCTAAAACCAGCCAACCAGCCTAGGTTGGTTTAAGCTGGATTTTTTAGCAGGGAATTCCAACAGAAGAAGCTAAGGCTATGTTTAAACAGCAAAGCTTTTATTAAATTCACAACATATGTGTTGCTCTTTTCTATTTTAAAAATAAGAAATGCAGCCCACTAAAGCGCCATGTCTTTACATTGTTTTCTATATGTTGCTTAGCTACATGGAGGATCAAGTAACGGCTGTACCGCTGAACGTATTGCAGAAAACAACAGTTAGAAGTTTAAGTGGTGTGGTGCTTCATGTCCGATGTGTCTTGGGCTTTAAGTAGCAGTTCTACTCACAGACTATAAATGTATTCAGCACTGCTCTGATGAAACATAAGTTATGTTTAAATGCATCTTTTGTCATTTAGTTTATATTGTGAATTTTGCCTCCTGTAATGGGGCAAAAACCTCATGTTGACTGCTCAATACAAATAAATAGTTAGGTCCATAAATACTTGGACATCGATTCTATAGACCAACACTATAGATTTGAAATGAAACGAACAAGATGTGCTTTAACTGCAGACTGTCTGCTTTAATTTGAGAGCATTTACATCCAAATCAGGTGAACGCTGTAGAAATTACAACAGTTTGCATATGTGCCTCCCACTTGTTAAGGGTCCAAAAGTAATTGGACAGATGAATAATCATAAATCAAATGATCACTTGTTAATACTTGGTTGCAAATCCTTTGCAGTCAATTACAGCCTGAAGTCTGGAACGCATAGACATCACCAGACGCTGGGTTACATTCCTGTTGGTGCTCTGTCAGGCCTCTACAGCAAGTCTTCAATTCTTGTTGGTTTTTGGGGCATTTCCCCTTCAGTTTAATCTTCAGCAAGTGAAATACAAGCTCAATCGGATTCAGGTCAGGTTATTGACTTGGTCATTGCATGACACTTCTTTCCTTTCAAAAACACTTTGGTTGCTTTAGCAGTATGCTTTGGATCATTCTTTATCTGCACAGTGAAGCGCTGTCCAATGAGTTCTGAAGCATTTGCCTTGATATGAGCAGATAATATTGCCTGAAACACTTCTGAATTCATCCTGCAGCTTTTGTCAGTAGTCACATCATTAATACAAGAGAACCAATTCTATTGACAGATATACATGCCCATGCCATGACACTACCACCACCAAGCTTCACTGCTTAGGATCATAAACAGTTCCTTCTCCATACTCTTCTCTTCCATCACTCTGGTACAAGTTGATCGTGGTCTCATCTGTCCAAAAGATGTTGTTCCAGCACTGTGAAGGCTTTGTAGAACTCTAATCTGGCCTTCCTGTTTTTGAGGCTCACCAATGGTTTACATCTTGTGGTGAACCCTCTGTATTCACTCTGGTGCAGTCCTCTCTTGATTGTTAACTGACACACACACCTACCTCCTGGAGAGGGTTCTCGATCTGTCCAACTGTTGTGAAGGGTGTTCTCTTCACCAGGGTAAGAATTCTTTGGACGTCTACCACAGCTGTTTTTTGTGGTCTTCTTGGTTTTTTGCTGTTGCTGAGCTCACCTGTGCGATCTTTCTTTTTAAGAATTTTCCAAATAGTTGTTTTGGCCATGTCTGATGTTTTTGCTATCTCTCTGATGGGTTTGATATGTTTTTTTCAGCCTAATGATGGCTTGCTTGACTGATAGTGATAGCTCTTTGGATCTCATCTTGAGATTTGACAGTAACAGATTCCAAATGCAAGAAGCACACTTGAAATGACCTTTTATCTGCTCACTGTAATTTGAATAATAAGGGACTAACACGATCCTGGCCATGGAACAGCTTAGAAGCCAATTGTCCAATTACTTTTGGACCCTTAACAAGTGGGAGGCACATATGCAAACTGTGGCAGTTCCTACAGCGTTCACCTGATTTGGATGTAAATTAAAGCTGTTTGTTTCATTTTAAATCAATTGTGTTGGTGTATGGATTCAATAATGTTAGAATTGTTTTAATGTCCAAATATTTATGAACCAAACTGTATATATGTTTGGGGGTTGCACAGTCTAGTCTGTTACCAGACTGGTCGACTTGAATTCTCTGCCGTGAAGCTTTTTGATTGATGTCGACTAGTCTCGCAGCACCGACTCATGTGGTTTTTGACCTGAACTAAATGGCAGTTTTACACACAAAGTAGATTTACAAAATGAAATAAAATAACATTTGTTATTATCAGATTCCCTCTGGCATTATTTTCAGTGATGTAGACTAAAACTCATTCACTGGTGAATTCATTCATTCTATAAAACTACTAAACAAGGACAAAATTAAAAAGGAAATTGACATTATTTTGATTATAAAACAGATGATAAAGCTGAAAAACTGATCTTCCTGTTACTAATATTGTTGAACTAGAAACATTTTACTCAAAAATGTCATAAAGAAAAGAGGCTGCAACAGACCTGAGCGATGGGAAGTGGGTTGACATTCATTATAGCCTCCATTGCAGCTGTACCGCTCTCTGCAATAGCACGATGGAAGAGGTTTGCAGACAAAGGAGACAGAACCTATGAAAAATATATACAAAATAAAATGTTTATATGTGTCTTGCATTATCATGTTTTATTTAAAAAAAAACATGTTTTTGTCAAATCATTAAATTAGAAATATAAAATAATACAAATTTTACACTGTATACACTGTAAACAAAAATGTATTGTTACTATAACTTAAAAAGTTTAAAAGTAAAATTACAAGATAGACAGACAGACAGACAGACAGACTTTGGCCAAAACATGAAATACTAAACAAAAATATAGCTGCAAGCAGCTAATATCAGGGCCAAGCAGCCACATCATAAACAAGCAAGGCAACAAGCTACATAGCAACAGGAAAAGTCTATGGGCCCTATCATACACCCGGCGCAGTGTGGCGCAGGGCGCGGCGCAATAGTCTTTTGGTAGTTTCAGCTTGGCGCAAAAGTCGTTTTGATGTGTTGCGCTACGCTGTTTAAATAGCAAATGCATTAGCGCTCATTTGTGTGCCCATAGGCGTTCTAGTCTAAGAAGGAAGGCGTTCTGAGGCGGACCACTGGCGCGTTGCTATTTCGAGAAACTAAAATAGATTTTTCATTAGACCAAAACAAACCCGGTCTAAACTCCAGCGCAGAGTTGCGCCTCGCTTACACACTGCTTAATACGCACAAGAGAGCAATAGGCAAATATCTTTACATATGAAAAATGTAAATATTAAGGATATATATAGGATATAATAAGAGTAGAAATAGAATATAAATATAAAGGATTAAAATATTACAAAACATATTATTTTCTAGCCTACATAAATATGAAAAATCACTGTTTTTATGTCTTCTTCATCTCGGGAGGCTTTTTCAGTTCATTCAAAACAATTTGCTTTTGTATAATGTTATTATTATTAGCAGTATTATTTATTATATCCATATTTATATTTGTTTTATTAAAAACAAGCTTAGATTTGCCCACCTGTCAGGTTTTAGACCATATGGGGCACAGCATGTGTTTTATGATATAACTCAGGTTTTTGAGCCCATTTGGTTATTATTGTTCATTTATTCGTTTGCTGGAAATTAGAACTGAATTTAGAAATAGTTTTGAAACGAATATTTGCGCTTAACAAACAAAAGTATTTATTTATAGACTAATTGATGTCTGTGCGTAAAGGTTTCCCTATCCAAGAGCGAATGTGAAAGTGATCCATTATCTCTCATTCTCACGCAGTAGATGCTCTGTTTAACAGTTTTCTGTTAAAAAACTGTCAACTGTTAATTGTTTGCTTGTGAAATGCTCATTTTTTCAACTTAGATTTCCTTTGCGTCCTGTAAATAGCGAATGCGCTCTTGGCGCGACGCAGCTGACTCTTAAAGGGAATGGGAGATGAGACTCTAATTGGTTTATTCTCAAAACACACCTATAACTCATTAAGAAAATAAACTCAACCCTTTTAGACCATGCGCCGCCGGTGCAAGGCAGATTCCCCGTCCTTAAATTAGCAAAAACACGTCCTGACACGCCCTGAAAGCGTTTGCGTCATGCGTTTTGCGCTCTGCGCATGGACCGTCAAAATAGAGCCCTAAACTTTTTGGCAGCATGGTCTGAGCCAAATTTGGTGGAAATTGGGCAGAGAGTTCAAAACAACAGATTTTCAAACTAATTCAACATGGTGGACAGAAAGTTGGGTCAATTAGGGAATAAATTTCATTAATGTTCTCTGTATAATACAAGGAATCTGCAAGACCACTCTCATGATTTTTATGATTTCAATGGATAAAATTGAATTGTTTGTCAATTTTACTCAGAATGTGGCTCAAACTGACGTAGTTTGGTCAGTGTCAGGTCTAGATCACACACAGTCAAATTGGTTTTAATACTTCAAACCATTGCAGTGATCTGGTTATTTGTTTTGTTTTTGTTTATTTGTCTATCGACATGAATTCCATAACTTTTGGTCTACATGGTCTGAAGATGATCCAAGTCAAATTTGGTGAAGATTGGACCATCGGTGTAGGAGGAGTTCAAAAGAAATGGTTTGGACAAAATTAAGAATGGCTGACAGGAAGTTTGGCAGATTAAGGCATAATTGGTATCTGTGTTGTCAGCATGACCCAAGGAATAATTTGAATAATTTAATCAAAATAAGCACATGCAGGCAAAAGTTATTACCAAATTTTTGAGTTTCATTAATAATGGCTAATAAATGTCTTATAACTCTTAACTTATAGGTGGCACTGTCATCAACATTAGTTGCAACTTTAGAATAACGTCCCAATAACACACATAAGCTAATAACTAACACTTATCTAATTTATTAACTCACACTTTACAGATCAGATGTTCATAGTTTGGTAACCATCTACTAATACCAGTGAAACTTTGTAGAACTTTTCAAATAAAATACACTTTTACTTATTTTGTTTTCATGTTTAGCACAAAAAGTGCCCAAACCTCATGGGTTTGTATTCTGTTGTATACTGCTGGGGCCTGTTTCAGTAAGGAGGTTTAAACAACTCAGAGTTTAAACTTGAACTCTGAGTTGATTTACCGAGAGATAAAAAACTCTGAGTTTTCGGTTACAGAATAGCTGATCTGAGCTGGGTCAATCAACTTTGAATAGACCAACTCAGAGTTAAGCGCGCACACCGTGACTTTAAAAAGGCATTATCAATGGAGCGCAGACATTACGAGTGACTATGGCAACATCTTAAAAAAAGAGATCAGCATTTCTTTCTCCGGCTGAACTTGATCTGCTCATGCAAAGTTATAGCAAATATGAGCGTATATATTTAATAAGAAGCAGCCATCAGTAAAACAGAGACAGCATGGGAAAACAGCTGCTCAAGTTAATGCGTAATTTTTAATTTTAAGTATTTAAACATTTAAGTATAATAAAATAAGTAATGTAATGTGTGATGTTTATACTTTTTTTCTAAGCTTTTATACACTTTTATCAGTTTTAATAGATTTAACAGTGCACTTGTTATGTGTCTGCCTTTTTATTGATCAAGTGATAGAGGTTGATATGACATTAAGAAGGTAAGCAGTAATACAATTATTTTTATACAGAATAATAATCCCATTAATCTCTAACAGTGCATGTCGAAGGTTAAGCTAATTATTTATGAAAAAAAGGATAAGCCTCGTGCGTGACTTTGTTCTGTGTGTGACAAAAATGTAGGCAATAGCTGTGTTTCCATCAAAATTACATAAATTTGTGCAAAACTGGAATAAAATAAAGCAGCGTTTTTATCCAAAGAGTCGAAGAGAACACAATCGTCACTTCCTGATTAACTTGCGCCAAATATCAACAGTAAAAACAGAATTACTGCGGTAGAAGAAGCTGCGTCAATGATTTTTTATTTAATTAATGTACCTGAGCCTCAGAAGACAATTAACACAAAATGAACACGTGGGGGCGTTTGAAGCCAGACGCGGAGATCTTGACACGCTACAGACGCTCGGAGGTAATTTAATAATATACACTAATACTGAAACAGTATAGGCATTTTAGAATAACTAAAACAACTTTTATACAGTGTGCTTAGTCTGCTGGTTTGTCCTTTCACACACATTTTCATCATCATCTCTAACAAACCATTTTTTTAATGTACATACTGTAATTTGTTAAGTGCACTTCGTAGTTTATGTGCATCTTATCAAATAAAAGTTTAACCTACTCAGTTATGCACATGTTATATTATGCGTATTTTCAAAAGTTATGTGAATCATGACGTTTCCATCAATCTTTTTTATGCACATCTCCAAAATGAGCTCTAAAATAGGTGTGTGGAAATGTAAGACTAATGCGAGAAAAAACGCTTCATCTTTAAAAAGGGGAGGAGACCGAGAAACTCAGAGTTTAGAGAATAAAACCTGCTCCGGACCAGGTTAGATTCACAGAGTAAGTTACCAAAGTAACTGACTCTGAGTTAAAGTTAACTCTCTTTTAGAAACAGGCTTGACTTACCCTGATTTCTCGAGTTTAACAAACCTGCCATTTTGAAACGGAAAACCCAGAGTTTCTCTCATTTCAGGGTTAAAAAACTCTGAGTTTTCACTAAACCTGCTTTCTGAAACAGGCCCCTGTTCTACCATGTGATGGCTCAGCATGGGTTTCTACTGTATACATTAAACACAACGTTCAACATTTCATCTGTGGAGTTTCTTTGGTAAAATACAGCACACAGAAAAGCCTATGTGTGGAACAAGGTTAAGGTACAAAAATGTTATATTTTAAATTTCACATCTAATTTCTGTAGCTTGAACTTGTTCCATCCATTTGCTGTTCTACAAGGTTTCAATGGTATTAGTAGATGGTTAACAAACTATGAATAACTGATCTGCAAAGTGTGAGTTAATATATTAGTTAAGTGTTAGTTATTAGCTTGTGCACTGTATGTTATTGGGACGTTATTCTAAAGTTGTAACAATTCCTCATTTACTGTTAATAAATGAAGAATAGTTGAAACTTTAGAATAACGTCTAATTAGTAATAACGTATTATGTATAGTTATAAATCATTAAAATACAGTTAACAAGTCATTTATAACTTGTTAACTAACAGCTTGTAAGTTAATTAATGGCTATCTATAATGCACAACTATAAATAATTAACAAACTATTAACTTTTATTTAACAAGTCATTTACAACACATTAACTAACAGTTTATTAATGGACTATTAATGAGTTATAACAGATAGTTATTCTAAAGTGTTAGCCAAAAGGCGACTTTTTGAAGAAAGCTTCACTTTAAAAAAAAAAAAAACTAATTTTACAGAAAAAATCTCAAAATTTTTTACAGTAATTTTTTGTGATTTCAAATTATATTCAAAACTTAGTAAAATTACAAATAATCTCTCTAAAATGACAGTTTGACTTTCATTTTAGGTACTTCATTATTAAAGACAAATTACTGACATTTTTGTTTTTTATACAGAGAAATTACAATATTATTTATACAGTATTTTTTCTGTTATTTTAAATTAAATGTAAAAGTTCGTAAAAATTACAAACAATATCTGTAAATGAACAGCTTGACTTTTATTTTATGTACTATATAAGTGATGACAAATTACAGCAATTTGTCTCTTTTATACAATAAAATTGGCGTATTATTTAGTGTTTTTTCCTGTTTTTTTAAGTACATTTAAAATTACGTAAAATTGAAGTAATAAATTGTAATTACGTGCTCTGTAAAAAAAAAAGTAAAAAAAAAAAAGATCGTAATAAAAAGGTCAAATGACTGGCAGCTACGGCTGCCAAACAATAACCATAAAATTACAGGTAAAATTCTTTGTTGAAATAAAGTGCAAAAAATAATAAATCGACAGATATTTTCATTAAAATGTTTACAGAAAAACACTGTTATTTTACAGATATTTCCTAGATTATTACGATCAAATACGTACAATAAAGTTACACACTATGAGCGCTCACATGCACCTGTTCTGGATTCCGCTGATTGCACACACACACAGTCGGAGGATCATTATGAACTGATTACATGGACTTTAAAAGCAGCACAGACGCACGCACCAATTGCTTAGTCTTATTATACTGTTACTGTTAACATTATGACGAATTTCTCTTTTTTTGCCTTGCTTTGTTTGTTAATTTTTTACATTGTTTGCTGCCGGGACTAATCATTTGCTTGGTATTTGACCATGACTCTGGATTCCCTGCATACATCTGTTTGCAGGTCGCCCCTGTGTTGACTATTGCTTCCCTGACCATCTCTATGTAATAAAACCTGCATTAGGATGTGCACTTTTTTGGCAGGGTCCCCTTCACGTTACAGTTCCATTTCATTTAAGATTTGGAACTGAATCATTCCATATAACTTAAACCTGATTTAATCAGTTGTATCTCGTTTGTTGTTTTTTCCAAACTTTTCTGACCCAAAATAAAACTGTTAAATTATGATCATGAGCATGTCTTGGCATTTTATTAAAGGTGTTTAATCGTAATGATTTAGGGAAAATTCTTTTAAATAACATTGTTTTCTCTTGAACTTTTAGCGCAGTCACTTTATTGATGGTGTTCGATCATAATAATCTAGGAAAAGTCTGTGAAATAACAGTGTTTCTCTGTAAAAATCTTATTGTGTAACTTTATTAAATGGATTTGATCGTAATAATCTAGGAAATATCTGTAAAATAACAGTGTGAACTTTTTTTTTTTTAACAAATTTTTTTTTACAGTGTTGAAACCTTCCATAATATTTGTTTCCCCTACAATCGAAGTCAGTATATTTAGATTTTCAGCTGTCTTCAAAATATATCCTGTGCTCAACATAATAAAGAACCACTTGAGGGCAAGCAAACATCAAGTACATATTCATTTTTGGGGTGAGCTATCCCCTTAATAATCACCCAAAACCTAAACAGCTCAAATGAGATGACCCTTTCAGAAAAGCTATTTTTGACTCCTCACATGTAAAGACACACTGATTCCTCCAGCAGACTCTCCAAAGATGGTCACTGATCCAGGATCTCCGCCGAAGCTGTGGATGTTCTCCTGAACCCACTGTAGCGCAGCTACCTGATCCAGAAGACCATAGTTTCCTGGAGCATTCTCGTCTCCAGTGCTAAATGAAGGGCAGAAGTTCATCACATCATTAGAGACCTTAGACCTGAACTCCAATCTATTAATCACACTAATCAGAGATCGTAAAACATTGACTTTATGACTGTTCAAGCTGATTACGGGAGAGTTAAAGTCCACAGACACACAGACTGATGAATGAAATATATATGCTGAACTAATGTACAATATGAGACTTTTTAATTATTAATGATGCTATTGGTCACACTTTACAATAAGGTTTTATTAGTTAATGTATTTAACATAACATGAACTAATTATGAACAATACTCGTATAGCATTAAATGGTAAAAAAAAATCTACTTTTCAAGCTGTTTGGACAGACATGTGTGTAAGTATAGTGTATAGACCGTCATGTTGGGGTGATATAAACACACCCAGTCCTTTTTTTTCAATTTAACAACATAAAAATGGTGGACCAATTGGAGCGGTTTTCAGAGTGACCGCAACTTGACGTAGGAGTGCAGTCCCACCGGCCACCAATTTGGATTGACAGGCCCATTGATTGACGTCACCATATCCTCAGTTTGTTGTTTCACGTCCGCCATTTTCAGCACGAGTCAAAGTCATATCACTAAAGGAACATCCTTGCTCTATTTTTAGATGCAAGGCTCATTGGACTCAACACAAGATCAACATTCACCACTTGATTGCTGTAATCGGAATTACTAGTTGTAACTTTAGGTAGGTTTGCAAACATGTGTACTTTTCATTGCGTCTACCTTAAACTTCAGCCGATTGCATTACTCGAGGTCACATAAGCTCCCGGTGATCTTAACTAGGTGCAGCTGGAAAAGTGCATGCACGTCATGTGCGCGTCTCTCCACTGGAAATAAAATAAACTTGCCTGCAGGTCGCTTTCCAGAAGCGCTGCTCTGCGTGGCGCGACGCTGACGCAGCGCCAAACATTTTAGAACTCTAAACATCTATCAGGGCGGCCTTTTAGCAGCCATTCACATGTCACGACTTTTCTAGAATTCGCATAGGTTTGTTGTTTCCAATGGAAGTGCGCATTAGAGGATGACACGGGAGTAAATTTTCATTCCCGTCCGTCCCACTCGCACAGAAAGATACCAATACCCATACCAAAGTAAAAAATAATAATAATAAATTCCTGTCCCATCCCGCTCCTTGTAAAGTGACTCCCGCTCCAATCCCACTCCTGTTTAAAATGACTTCCGCTCCAGTACCGCTCCCATATATATATATTTTTTCTTCATTTATTCATTTTCTTGTCGGCTTAGTCCCTTTATTAATCCGGGGTCGCCACAGTGGAATGAACCACCAACTTCTACTTCCAGCAAGTTTTTACGCAGCGGATGCCCTTCCAGCCGAAACCCATCTTTGGGAATCATCCACACACACATTCACACACACACTCATAAACTACGGACAATTTAGCCTACCCAATTCACCTGTACTGCATGTCTTTGGACTGTGGGGGAAACCGGAGGACCCTAAGCAAACCACGCGAATGCAGGGAGAACATGCAAACTCCTCACAGAAACACCAACTGACCCAGCCGAGGCTCGAACCAGCGACCTTCTCGCTGTGAGGCGACAGCACTACCTACTGCGCCACTGCTTCTTTTCTTCATTTAGTCTTTAGGTGCTCTGCTTGTGCTCCTCTGAGAAAACGTTTGATGGTCGCCTAGCAACCTACGAAACACCACCCCCTCCCCCGTCCACGGTAAAAATTGTCAAGCGTTGACCGCTCCGCGGTGATAAAAAGGGCCACTGCTATACTACACTTCAACTCAAGTACTTGGTTTGTGTGCTTTGTCCACCACTGACAATAGCCCCTTTCACACATACAGACCTTTCCGGAAAATTGCCGGCAATTTTCCGGAACGGTTGTATGTGTGAACAGGTCCTTTTTGAAAATACCGGTAAATTCGTTCTGGCTATTTTCCGGAAAGAGAAGTTGTAACATTACCGGCAATTTGCCGGAATGCTGCACTGTGTGAATGCAGAAGGAAGATTCCCGTAATAAGCGCGTGCACGTCTAGAACGTGCTGACGTGAGACGTCTGCTTTAGCCAATCACAACAGTCAGACGCATTTACGTCCGCGCGGTTTGTGAGGATAAAAGCCTTTGAATATATTTCCAGACACATTTAGCTGCTAGAAGTTAGTCAGATCACGTTTATATGTTCTTCTTAATGCCAACTGTGTAAATAATCATCGATGAGATGCTTATGATAAACCGTTGTTTGTTTACCTTCAAGCTTTGCGTGCGCATATGAGCGCCTGCACACGCAGATAATATGAACATCTCGACATGCGAAAGTGATCCTGCGAAAGTTGTTCACAATATTGATCATCCACAGAGTTTGTAATTTAGTCAAATGTTTACAAATACAAGCGCAGCCGTTTAAAGCTCATTTGTGGGGAATGATGTCAGAATTTACCGGTATTTTGGAATGGATGTGTGAATGCTCTTTTCCGGAAAATTTCCGTAACGTCCTCGCCTGTGTGAACAGCGCTTTTTTGAATATACCGGTAAAGTCGTTCCGGAAATTTTCCGGATATTTACCGGTATCACTGTGTGAAAGGGGCTAATGTGTCATCTTTTACAGTTACACAAACACCTGTATGGGTCTGCACTTAAAAAAAAGAGCTGCACTGATATAATTTAGAACTATTGGAAGTACAAAATGCACATAATTAGATTTACCTGAAAAATCCAAGCAGGCCGAGTCTGTATTGTATCACGACCACAACAACGTCCTGATAAGCAGCCAAAACATGTCCGTCAAACAAGGATGCCGAACAAGTCGTGAAACCTCCGCCATGGATCCACACCATAACCTTTATCAAAAAAAAACAAACATTTAAAACAACAACTTAAAAATGAAAAACACTACAATCTGAATATTATTAGAAATTGAAATACACTGTTATACACCATTTTGAAAGCGGTGCATTCACACTGAATGTTCTAAAAAGTGTAAGTGCACTTTACAGGTGCAGTGAAGTGCTTTGAAATGTGCAAAATTTGAGGTAATCTCAACTGAAAGAGAGTGTGCTCCTCCCATTTTTTTAAGGTCCCGGGAAATTAAAATAAAGTTTTTTAGATGTTAGTATCATAGACTGTAAAAGATATGGACGTAGTATCTGTAAAGTCACCCATAGGTTTCTGAACAATGCAAAAGAAGCTCCAAGTAGGCGCGGTCAACTGTCGACATTTTGTTCACGTGTCATCGTATCAACCGCAGGATACCAAATAAAGGCAAAGAGGCAAAGCCTGAGCGGAGCTGCAGACACCTGCTAGCATTTTGCTTAGACTTTTCTTTGGAGAACACTTAATACATCATTACCTGTGACTCGTTTGTGTTCTGCCCACATGTGCTTGGTTGTAAACTATATCAATAAAGTGTTTAGTCTTTTAAAAAACACTGTTGTAACACATTTGGCCACTAAACATTGTTCTGATTGCATTTTTCTACAGGAGGAAAACGCGAATTACCTTCAAATACTTCAAATATAGTCTGTGTTAGTAAATGCAGTGCTATTTATGAAATCCAGGCATACTGTAACACTGTATGACAACGTTTCAGATGACTGTTCCAGAGCCTACAGCTAATCAATCTAGATTCTGGAGTGCTTTACAGTAGGGCTGCACAACTCTGGCAAAAATGTGAATCACGATTTTTTTTTTCCTTAAAATCAAGACGATTTTCTACTGATTCTGTAGATGTAAAATAAACGTTAATATGATTAGCCTATTATTATTGTTAATTCTCAAACATATGGTAAAACAACAATAATAATAATAGGCCTATGTCAGGGGTCGGCAACCCGCGGCTCTAGAGCCGCATGCGGCTCTTTAGCGCTGCCCTAGTGGCTCCCTGGAGCTTTTTCAAAAAATGTTTGAAAACGGAAAAAATAAAAAGGTAAATATATTTTTGTTTTAATATGGTTTCTATAGGAGGACAAACAATCTTAACGTTTTCTAATGCTGTAAAAGTGTGTAGAATATTTATTTTCAACATTTCTGTCAACGAAGATTTGCGTCATAGCCTGCGACACACGGAATAGGCAGGTGGCTGTTGTAAACAATCCGGCGGCTGTGTGATGCGCCATGGAGCGTAAGCTGTCTTTGCCAAAGATGTACAGCGGGGCACGCTCTCTCATTTTCCCGCCCTGAGAGAATTCAAAGAAGCCCATCCCGATCACTCACTCAACGGTGATTATTTACAAGGTGCGATCGTTGATATGCAAACTGCATTTGGGAGCAGATTTTGCGAGTGGCGAAAGGAAAAAACGAGACTGTCTTTCCTTGTCACACACCCCTGGAGATTGACCCTTCCTTGTTGAGCACATTCCCAGTAAGGGGCACGTTATGCACGTTCATTTTGATGTTGTTTTTTGGAATTCTCAAAATAAAAAACATCAAAAATCTGATTTCTTTACTGCATTTCTTTAATTTCATCAAAGCAAAACATGATGCATTAATATTGTAATGAAGTTAAACTTGAACATTAAACATAATTCATTGATATTGTAATGAAGTTAAACTCGAACATTAAACATAATGCATTAATATTGTAATTAAGTTAAACTTGAGATGGCATCGTACAACAGAGTAGTCACGTGGTGCGTCATTCTCTACAGGATGCACTGCAGGGAAAAAAAAACATTTAATCATGAAGGCTCAGTATGTATTTGTAGCCAATTAAATCATTTTTATAGTAGGCTAATATAAATACATACAGCATGTGTTGCCTTCATTATAAGGCTTATATAAGGCTTTTAATTTTTTGCGGCTCCAGACATATTTGTTTTTGTTTTTTTTGGTCCAGTATGGCTCTTTCAACATTTTGGGTTGCCAACCCCTGGCCTATGTGTAGGCCAACTGTTGCTTAAAATGCTAAATTTTGCATATTCATTATGGTGGACTTGAACAGACTTTCAATATGTCCTGTTTGTTAATTCACAGCAAAATTATGATATTAAAATATAACTATTCGTAATTATAAAGTTGATTTATTATGTTTAAGACGTGCTTGTCATCTGTTATTGACAACATTATTAGACCATTTGTTTTCACTGGTAAAATTAGAATTTTGTCATGATCAGATTCCTTCTTGCATTATATTTAACATTATATATAGGCTAAGGTTGTTTTACTGACACAGTAAACATTTATTTTCATGCACAACACTTTGTCACATATCAAATGCTTGTCGTAATCATAACTCTAGAATGCGATAGGATCATTTAAAAGATGTTCGCACTGGTTTCACTTTCACTTCCGAGTGCGGCTCATGGCTGCTGTCATTGTGAGAAAAAAACACACACATGCAAATCAAACATCCCGCACGGCCCTCAAACGATCGCTCTGTGCAACAAACTGAACGTTATTTACAACTTCATTACATGTTATTCACAGCCTATGCTGGTTGTGTTCACTAAAGTAGGCGTCATCTAAGAATGCGTGAGTGCACGCAAGTAAACAAACAGCTGGCGGTCAGCTCACATGTGATTTCGCAGCCACAAATACGTCATTACATGAAGACAGAAATGAGATTTCTGGGTGAAATATACCTTATTAATACAGTATGTGACACTTTAAACACTATTTGAAGGTGTCAATGTTGCTGTGAAGACTTGTGCGACTGCCTTGCTTCTTTCCTGACCTTAAAAATAGAATTGGCTGAATCGTAGAAAAGCTGAATTAAGATTGTGTGTAGGGTCGAATCGAGATCTTTTTTTGATTAATCGTGCAGCCTTCATTTACAGTACTAAAGAAAATTATAAATGATAAATGATCTTATGTAAAACAAATACATTTATAGAGATGGTATAAGTATTTAATTTCACTCACCTGGGAAATGGAGGCAACTTGAACGGTTCGGAGCACAATTACGTGCACAAAGCATGCTATAGTATCTGATAATTGCAGGAAATAATCCCAAGAGGAAATTGACTGTGTAAAGACACGTTAACCAAAACAAAGATACGATGTATATGCCGAGTTCAGCGGCTTATCAGCCGGAATCAGCTGAGGTGATGAGACAGTGAGCAGCGAGAGTTTGCGGTCACTCAAGTGGCCACGCCCTTAATTATGCAGACTTAATAAAAACGAATAGTATGAGTTATAAAAAAAAACTCCCCCAAAGGCAAGTAGATGAATTGCAGTTTTAGTTACTTCTGTATTGGCTTCCCGAGGGAGAGCGGGAGATTGCCGCTTGGTTAGTAAAAGTATGCTAGTCTTAAGGAAATCTAAGGAAATCAGTGGCGTAGCGCAAAATGCGGAGCCCCCCCTGCAGGGATCACTGATGGGGCCCCTAATGATGCGGGGGGGGGGGGGGGGGGATCTCAAATTGAGGAGCGGGGAAGGAAGGCGGGGTGGAGCGACAACGCGGGGAAGCCTTCACAAACTGAGGAGCGATCACAAATCGAAAGCGGCGAGAGCGTCAAAGTAGCCAGAAGTCATTAATTTCAATGAGAACCGGTGGCGAGAAACAGCGCGGCGCGTTTTCTCCGATGTAAGCGTCGAGGAGAGTTGAAATCAAGTCAACTTCATGGTATAAGCTATGACGCGGTTCGGCCGCAAGCAATCAGAATGAAGTAGTCCAACACAGATAACACAGACCTGTGAACTTTGGTTCCGACCACAGTTGTTCCCAAGAGTTTGATTATTGCGGTTGCTGGATTTTCAATTATTAAAAACGAAGCAGGACCCCCTACTCACGCGGGGTCCCCCCGCGGTGCGTGCCCTGCGGGCCCATCCACTACGCCACTGGCAAAACGGTGACCAAAATTGGGTTTAGAAGAAATAAACCTGATGTAAACATTTCAAGCTTGCAGTTTGCACCTAAATGGATCAACGATTTTTTGACGTCACCTCAAACTTTAGTTTCTCATAAAATCTGACCAATCAAATGCTCTCTAGTATCTGACATGCCCCGCCCCTTCTTCTTATTTGCTTTTCTTTTGATGTTCTCGAGCTCAACCATTTTCACAGGCAGAGCTGTGAGAAAAACCAAACGATGACTGTTGTCTTAAAAAGGGGAGGAGCGGCTCTATGTCCCGCCCTCTCCTGTGTTTCAGTTGAGATTATGTCAAACGTTGAATAAAAATGCACATTTCAAAGCACTTCACAAGTCCCTTAAGTTACTTATTGTGTGATTGAAATACCTTTCAGACAGAGTAACGTATTTTAAATCCTAAATTGATGATGTGATTAGTAATGGGTTACATTTCTGAGGTAACACACCCAACACTGGGCATGCAGTAATCGCTTTAGTTATTTGCACTGTTATATAAAAAAACCTTATCACATTTTTCACCTGTGCTGTTAGTAGATTACACACGCCTTATCATCCTCAGCTCTGCTTGTCTGTGACCTAATTTGCACAGACTTAAGAAGCTCTTAAAGAGTTCACACTCTTCACAAACAAGCCTGAATAAGACAAAGCTTAAAAGTGGAATAAATAACCATTTCTGATGCAGTCAGACTCGTTTTTTTTACATTGGACTTCTTTTTGCACTGACTGTTGTTTTGAGTATTCTTTCCCTAGTCTTTAACAGCTTAAAAGGATCTGATTGCAGACTGAAGCAAAGTGCAGGTTAAGGGTTTAGAATAGATGGTTAGAGGTGAAGGTGATAAATGCTGCTCACTCTAATAAACCCCTTGATAATAACAGCCCTTACATACGGTTGAAGTCAGAATTATTAGCCCCCCTGTTTTTTCCCCCAATTTCTGTTTAACGGAGAGAATTTTTTTTCAATACATTTCTAAACATAATAGTTTTAATAACTCATTTCTAATAACTGATTTATTTTATCTTTGCCATGATGACAGTAAATAATATTTGACTAGATATTTTTTCAAGACACTTCTATACAGCCTAAAGTGACATTTAAAATAGTAATAATTAGGTTAACTAGGCAGGTTAGGGTAATTAGGCAAGTTATTGTATAACAATAGTTTGTTCAGTAGACTATCAAAAATATATATCTTAAAGGGGCTAATAATTTTGATCCTAAAATGTGCATGAGAGTCATACACAAATAATAATGCTTTTTCCACTGCAGCATGACTTTATATTCTATACTGTACATTATTTCTGTAAAGTGACAAGATTTTGTCTAAGCAAAGTCAGACCTTACTGTAAGTAAAATTCAAGGCATGAACATATTTATTTTTGGTAATATAAGTATAATCTAGAGGCATTTGCCTTTCATATAAGCCACTTCTAATACCAACGATTAACTAGAAGTCAAGTTATTATTTGTTGTTCCTAAAACTTTGATAGGCGACAAGACTTCTGTCAGGTAGCGTATATTAGATCCATCAGTAAAATAGATGTTGTTTGTGCACAGTGGGTTACACATAATAGTACTGAATTCTTTTCAAATTAACTAATAAAATATGATATATTGTAAAGAAACTGAGCTATTTACAACAATCTAATATAAACTAATTTGTTTACAAATGTGAGTTTTTAAAAAACTTTCATTAAAGTGCACTGTCATGATCACCAGCGATCTGGTAGATCTGCAGATCACTTAAGGACTACAAATACGCCATTTATGGACTACATATTCAGTCATGCAACACACACAAACCTGATTCAAGTGTCCACTGATTAGACTCCCACAGCTGATGCTGCTTCTGGACTGATTATTGCACTACATAAACAGCACAGAAACACTCACTGTGGCTGAGTCTTGTTATCTGTTTAGTGCAGGGGTCACCAACCCTGTTCCTGGAGAGCTACCTTCCTGCACGTTTCAGTTGCAACCCCAACCCTGTGTTTGATCAGGGTTGGGACTGAATTCTGCAGGAAGGTAGCTCTCCAGGAACAGGGTTGGTGACCGCTGGTTTAGTGACATTACAAAGCGGTTTCCTTTGTCTTGTTTTTCCGTGTTTTTGATCTTCGCCGTATTAGTGATGGTGAAATAAAGCTTTCTGAACAAGTGAAGCGCTCGACTCAATTGTATTAGAAAAAGGTTCGTAAAGCTGCGGTCACACTAGGCTTTCCCTCCTATAGATATCCATTCATACACACGCGATTGCGTAAGACTGGAAACGCAGGGTCATGCGTTAGGTTTCACAGGTTGCTGCAGTGCAAAGTTGAAGCTTGGTGAACTCTGACCTGCGCAATCGCATCACTTGACTGCGTGAGACCAATCGAGGATCAAAACATGACCTCTCTGGACAGAAATTTTAAACATGGAGCAATCGCTCGCTTTTTTAATGCCTAGTGATCTTGCTTAATCCCGCCCCTTTTTTGCAGCGCTGCACGACAGAATTTCGCATCATCAAACTCCAGTGTGACCGCAGCTTTACTCGAAGCTTTCTAAATCAGAGCTCGATGAGGACCTCTGGTTAAAGTGTGGGAAAGCACTGTATTGCAATAATGTCAAATGTTCACAACTGACCAACTCAATCACTTAGGAATACAACAACAGTAATATAAACAAATGACTCAATTACTGTGGTTTTTACACATAAGGTATATTACATTACACCATCGATGACTAGTAAAATCTAAAGTATTCAAAAGTATTTACATTGATCATATTCCATCTAGTCCTTGTCCCACCCACTCGTTCCAAGCAGGGATCGAACCAGCGATTCCTGCATGGGAGGCAAATGCTCTATAAGGAGGAGGCTATGTGAGTGAGTTGCACTCGCCAGCTGGTCTCCGTTAAACACTATACTACGTTATGCAGTGGTTTACTTTAAAGATAGTTGTAAAAAAATACGCTAATACACTTTAGTATGGTTCAAAACCTTTTTACTATAAATTACTATTGCATTTTAGTTGAAATACTAGTGTTTGGGACCGGTGCAGTGCTTTAAAACAGTAGAAATATATGTAATCGACGCCTAATCTCTCGCTATACACTTTACTTACCAATGAGGATGTTTAAACCTTTGAATCTAAAATTGAAGCAGTCACGTGGGTATAGGTGAAAATGAAGCTTCGGACGTCACGTGATGATGGCAAAACGAATCAAGCTCCTATACACTGCTTCACTGCGAGATGTATCGTTTTTTTAAACATGCTTCGAAGCCTCGTCACACCTTGTATATTTGTTTAATTCTGTTTGCTGCCAGCCTGTTATTTTGATTACGACTCTGGATTGTCCTTATACATCTGTTAGCCCCTGTATTGACCACTGCTTGCCTGACCTCGCAAATAAAACCCTGCATGTGGACCTTCACCTCTGTTGTCAATGTCACATCCTTGGGTACAAGCACCAGGGGCATATTTAAAAAAAAAAAAGAACTTAAATATTACAGGAGGACTAATAATTTTGTCCGAAGGCTGTATATACAGTTGAAGACAGAATTGTTGAATTTATTAATTTATTTTTTTTTTATATTTCCCAAATGATGCTTAACAGAGCATGGAAATTTTCACAGCATGTCTGATAATATCTTTTTCTTCTGGAGAAAGTCTTACTTGTTTTATTTCAGCTAGAATAAAAGCAGTTTTCAATTTTTTAAACCCCATTTTAAGGTCATAATTATTAGCCCCTTTAAGCTATATTTTTTCGATAGTCTACAGAACAAACCATCATTATACAATAACTTGCCTAATTACCCTAACCTGCCTAGTTAACCTAATTAACCTAGTTAAGCCTTTAAATGTCATTTTAAGCTGTATAGAAGTGTCTTGAAAAATATCTAGTCAAACATTATGTACTGTCATCATGAGAAAATAAATCAGTTTTTAGAAATTACGAATCTTCTCTCCGTTAAACAGAAATTGGGGAAAAGAGGAGGCTAATAATTCTGTCCGTAGACATGAAAATTATATGAAAATTTGAAGGAATTTTTGATGGTTTTAACTTCATCCTATGCATTAATAGACTAATCCTTGCATTAATAGTTTAAATCTGTCTTTAACTAATTAACTTATGCTGATGTGTTTTTCCTTATATGACCTTATGTGCTTAACCTCATATGTTTTTGCTGCATATGCCTTTGTGTGACTGAAAACCGAGAAGTTAACTCCTCTGTATTTGTTATCAACTGAATGTTACATCTTCTTCCAGAGTGTGCTCGTTTACAGGAAAAATAACGGATGGGAGGGACGAAAACTCACTCTCTTTAGACTCTGTGTATGTGTATGCGTAACTTTTTCTGTGCAGATTTGCTGTTCTGCCTAACTACTGATGATTGAACTGATCTGGATGGAGGATCTTACTTACTGAAGCGCCCCCGGGCGGGACTGAAGAGAGACGGTGATAAATATGGGGGGAACGAGGGTGTGGGTGTGTGCCCAGCTGACACAGACTGCCTGTGTTGCTGTTCTCTGACACCCGGAGCTCTGTTATGCTTTATTCATCTAATTAATTAAATTAATAAAACTTATTTAAAGCCTCTGACTGATGTTTTAACCTGGGAGGACTAGGAAAAGTCCGACAAATGCGACAAAGTTCACAAAAGCTCAACAAGCACACTTACAGGCAGCTTGTCGTTTCTTCCAGGTTTAGACGGTGTGTATACATTGAGGTAAAGGCAGTCTTCTGATGAATCCACCATGTCTACTTTTGCCGATAAATTGGCTACCAAGTCTTCAACTAACTGCCTATCCTGCAGACACCTGAAGTACAGAAACAGAAACATCAGAATTCAATGTAAATCTGAGTCCCGATAAAAAAACAGTGGGTTGGTTTTGTTCGTTCCTTACATTAACGGCTGTTTTGTAGCGTCTCTCACTCCTTCCCATTTCTCAGCTGGTTGTGGTGGAGCCAGTCTTAGTGGACCCACGGGTGGCTTGGCAAAGGGGATGCCCAAGTACGAATGGATAACGGTGTCTTTTCCCCTTGCTTTCATTTGTAGACCTTTCAGGGCTCCAGAATTGGTTTGCAAGATAGGTCCTGTTTAATGCATAAATATACATTTTAAAGGGGACCTATCATGCAAAAATCACTGTTATAAGGGGTTAAAACAAAGTTGTGTGGCAACAGCTTGTGAATATAACCAGCTTCTAATGATACTAATATGTTAATTTTATTTTTTATAATCACACTTGATCAACACACTTGGTTTGCAGAAACACTTTGATTAACATTCTCCATTTGTACATGTAATCAGAAGGGAAAAAACCCTGCCCATAAATGATGATCTCTCCCTCAGTAGCATAGAATTATTGGTTAGTCTTATTTTTGAACCTGCCACTATGCTGACACATAGGTGCTTGTAGCTCCGCCCTCTTTTGAAAACAGCACAATCTCAGCACAATTAAATTTAAAGTGACAGTCGGCAAAATGGCATAATTATGATCATCGCCTAAAAGGGGCAGTTTCAAAGAGTTCATTCATTTATTTTCTTGTTGGCTCAGTCCCTTTATTAATCTGGGGTCGCCACAGCCAAATGAACCGCCAACTTATCCAGCACGTTTTTTTGCAGCGGATCCCCTTCCAGCCACAACCCATCTCTGGGAAACATCCACAAACACTCATTCCCACACACTCATACACTACGGACAATTTAGCCTACCCAATTCACCTGTAGCGCATGTCTTTGGACTGTGGGGGAAACCAGAGCACCCGGAGGAAACCCACACGAACGCAGGGAGAATATGCAAACTCCACACAGAAACGCCAACTGAGCCGAGCCGAGGTTTAAACCAGCGACCTTCTTGCTGTGAGGCAACAGCACTACCTACTGCGCCCAGGGCCGGAGCAAGCTGAACTGCCGCTCTAGGCAGAGGACGATCACCCCGCCCTCAACCCCAATGTGAAAACGAAAGTGAACGGTTATGAAAATGAAGTGAGTGGTCGCAGACCTCTATTCTGCCGCCCTATGCGCGAATATAAATGAGGACGCACGGGTGCTGAGGGAGGGAGGGAGGTGTCGCTGATTCTGCCCTCTCTATTCTGCCGCCCTATGCGCGGAAATAACTGAGGACGTGCGGGTGTCGCGGACCTCTATTCTGCCGCCCTACGCGCGGATTTAAATGAGGACACGCACGTGCTGATGGAGGTGTCGCTGACGCTGCCCTCTCTATTCTGTCGCCTATGCGCGAATATATCTGAGGACGCGGGTGGTGAGGGAGGTGTCGCGGACATAACTGAGGACGTGGGTGGTAAGGGGGGTGTTGCGGACGCCGCCCTCTCTATACTGCCGCTCTAGGCAGCCACCTAGGTTGCCTCTATGGACGCGCCGGCCCTGACTGCGCCACTGCATCACCATTTTTATAATACATTTCACTTATTGTGTTTACATTTTTATTTACTGAAATAATTCTGCATTGTTGATATTTAATTTTATTCATATTATATATATTTTATTTTATACAAGGTTATACTCCAAAAACGATACAATGTCTTAATTTTAAAGGATGTATTTATATTTACATTAATTGCACAACTATTATGCATGCAAATGTATGACCTCATACAGTACATAACCTAATTTATACACGCAATACATTAATCCAAAAGCATTTTACGATACATTTTATTTACATTTTTATTTACTGTTTACCAGGGCCGGAGTGGGACTCCTTTTCAGCCCTGGAGTTTCAAGCCTCAGACCGGCCCACCTCAGTTCACGACTGACTATATTAAAATAAGGTCATTTCCAAATCAGTTTCTAATGACACTATCACGTCTTTTTTTGAGAAAACAGCTGCTTTAGAACTTCAAATGTTCAACAACCCTAACAGTATTATATGTCTTAACAATAAAAATGAAAACATGAAGATACTCTAACGAGGATCGAACCCAGGTCTGCGGCGTCTTAACCTAACGTGCTAACCGCTGGACCACAAAGCTGTATTCAAAAATGAGACAAAACTGAGTTTTATAATCATTAAAATAGATGAAAAGAGAAGAGTTGCGGTACAATAATGAATAAAAAGGCTGTGGTCAAGTAAATAAATAACTTTAAAAAGTGTGACTGCTGAGAGCAACAGATTCTGCAGCTAGGGACACCGGCCCTCGCGGCCAAAAAACGGACCGGCCCACCGGGAATTCTCCCGGTCCTCCCGATTAGCCAGTCCGGGCCTGCTGTATACATGCTTTACTTTATCTGAATTAATTATGCATGTTGATGTTAAATGTAATCATTTTGTAGACATTTCATTTTTTTTGGTCTTTACAAGGCTATACTCTGAATATATTCATTTTGATATTTAATTTTATTCATATTATATATATTTTATTTTATACAAGGTTATACTCTAAAAACGATACAATGTCTTAATTTTAAAGGATGTATTTATATTTACATTAATTGCACAACTATTATGCATGCAAATGTATGACCTCATATAGTACATAACCTAATTTATACACGCAATACATTAATCCAAAAGCATTTTATGATACATTTTATTTACATTTTTATTTACTGTATACATGCTTTACTTTATCTGAATTAATTATGCATGTTGATGTTAAATGTAATCATTTTGTAGACATTTCATTTTATTTGGTCTTTACAAGGCTATACTCTGAATATATTCATTTTCCTTCAGCTTAGTTCCTTAGCTTATCCAGTATATGTTTTACGCAGCGGATGCCCTTCCAGCTGCAATCCAGAACTGGGAAACACCCATACACACTCACATTCACACACACACACACACTACGGGCAATTTAGCTTATTTAATTTACCTATACCGCATGTCTTTGGACTGTGGGGGAAACCAAAGCCTTATAAGTCCAAAGACATGTGGTGTAGGTGAACTGGGTGAACTAAAATTGTCTGTAGTGTATGTGTGTGAATGCAAGATTGTATATGTGTTTCCTGGTGTTGGATGGCGGCTAGAAGTATATCCGCTGTGTAAAACATATGCTGGATAAGTTGGCGGTTTATTCCGCAGTGGCAACCCCTGGATAATAAAGACACTAAGCAGAAGGAAAATGAATGAATGAATGAATGAATGTTATTATTTAATTCTATTCGTTTTTATATATTATATACAAACCTATACTCTAAAAAAAATTATTTTATCATTTTAAATGATTTTTACATTTATTGCACAACTATTACGCATGCTAATTTATTACCCTGTACATAGCTCAATTTAGGCATGCATTAAATTAGTTTTACATTTTATTTATATCATCTGCTACTTTATTTACTGTATGTGCTGTACTGTCTCAAATAATTATGCATTGTTAATATTTACATTTCATTCATTTTATATACATTTTATTAAATACATTCTATACAAGGTTACACTATTTTAGCATTTTAAACTATTTTGCATGCAAAATGTTTACCTCGTACAATTTATACATGTGTATTTTATTTTAAATAGCACATTTATTGTGTATGGACATACACACAAAGCGCTTTACAATCATGAGGGGCGTCTATCTACACCACCACCAGTGTGCAGCATCCACTTGGACGATGCGACGGCAGCCATCACATCACACACCAGCTATAGGGGGAGTGGAGAGACTTCAGATTTCAGATTTGGAGGCCATGATCATAAACACCGATTAAGGGCCTACTCTTTTATAAGAAGCGCCATGGGATTTTTTTTAATGACCAGAGAGTCAGGACCTCAGTTTAACATCTCATCTGAAAGACGGTGCTCACTGACAGTTTACTGTCCCCTTCACTTTTACTGGGGCATTAGGACTCACACAGACCACAGTTTGAGCGCCCCCTGCTGGCCTCTCTAACACCACGTCCAACAGCAACCTAGTTTTCCCATGTGGTCTCCCGTCCAGGTACTGACCAGGCTCAGCCCTGCTTAGCTTCAGTGAGTAACCGGGCTGCAGGGTGATATGGCTGTGGCTATTTTAATAATATTGTTTGTATTTTAATAACTGCATGCATGTTGTAGTTTATGTGAAATAACTTAAATTTAACCAGCATTTAGTTTAAGACATTCCATACAAGCTATACTCTTAAACTAATTATTTTCATCATTTTTAACGATTCTATAATGTGAATTTCATATTTACTGCACGTCTATTATTCATGCAGATTTATGAGCCATATTTATACATTCACAACTTTCTTTTGCACATATAGGTCATGATTAAGTATCGATCATTTATCACATACACGCCTTACAAACTGGATTGACAATATATCGACACGCCTACTTGCACTTTCACCAATTTACCATAGTTCAGGGACTGTATTTACCTTGCGCTCCTCAAAATGTGCATATGCATTTATGACGTAAACGCCAAGAAAAACACGACAGCTTCATAGCATAGTAATAAATTTACAATCACAGTTTTACAATCATATAATTTATTTTGTTTGTATTTTATTAACTGTAAATATGCTATACTTTATCTGAAATAAATATGCAATGTTAATGTTTACATTTTATTCATTTTATTTTATACGTTCCAAGGCTAAAACATACAAGGCTACACTCTGAAACTATTTTTTATTTTATTTTAGCATTTTAAATTATTTCATTTTACAACTATTATGCATGTAAATGTATAACGTCATACAAAGCCTAATTCATACATGCAGTAAATGAATCCAAAACCATTTCATAGGGCATTTATTTATATTATATGCAATTTTATTAACTGTATGCTATACTTTGTCTGAAATAATTATGCATTGTTAATATTTACTTTTCATTCATTTCAATATGCATTTTATTTGATACATACAAGATCCTAAAACTACTTTCTGTGTAACATTGAAATTATTTCACATTTATTTCACAATTATTACGGATGCATATATTACTTAACACATAGCCTAAATTATGGAGGCAATAAATGAATCCAAAACAAAATATTATATATTTTATTTTATTTATATTATTTGAGTTTTGTTTTACTTTATAAATACTATACTTTAGCTGAAATAATTATGCATTGTTAATATTCAAATTTTATTACATTCTATGACCGACTAGACTCTTAAGCTACAGTATTTTTTATTTTAGCATTTTTAATTATTTAATTTTACAACTATTATGCATGCAAATATATGACCTCATACAAAGCCTAATTCATACGTGCAATAAATGAATCCAAAACCATTTCACAATACATTTTATTTATATTATTTGCATTTTTATTAACTGTATGCTGTACAGTATGTTGTCTGGAATAATTATGCATTGTTAATATTTACATTTCATTCATTTTATACACATTTTATTTCAAACATTCTATACAAGGTTACGCTCTAAAACTATTTTAGCATTTTAAATTATTATGCATGCGAATTTATGACCTCATACAAAGCCAAAGTCATACAATTAAACCTTTTGATAATACATTTTATTTATATAGTTGGCATTTTAATAACTGTAGTTTATCTGAAATTGAACATACATTTTATTCGGAATATATGCATCTATTTAAAGACATTGCATACAAGCTATACTCTAAAACTATATTTTATTAATATTTTATTAATATATGTTTTATTATCATTTTTAACTATTCTATATTGTGAATTTCACATTTACTGCACGTCTATTATGCATGCAGATTTATGAGCCATATTTATACATTCACACCTTTCTTTTGCACCTATAGGTCATGATTAAGTATCGATCATTTATCACATACACGCCTTACAAACTGGATTGACAACATATCGACACGCCTACTTGCACTTTCACCAATTTACCATAGTTCAGGGACCGTATTTACCCTGCGCTCCTCAAAATGTGCATGTGCATTTATGACGTGAACACCAAGAAAAACAAAACAACTTCATAGCTAGTATAAATAGTTATTTTCTTACATTAAAAACAAAGCTACGTTTTAACAGTTAGCAGAAGGTTGTGCAAGCAACAACATCCCGTTTGGAGACGTGAATTGCACTTACCATCCTCCGCTTTGACGCTGTTTTGTAAAGTCACTGCGATCAGGATGCAGAGTGAAAGCACGGCGGATTCCCTCATCGCCATGCTGGACAGTGGACACAGACACAGAATGAGTGCTGAGAAGCGAACTGCAGGCTTTTATTCACACCATTGCATAATCTGCACACACTTTGAACTTTGCTATGGAGACTGTGGTTGCCAGATTGGTTGAACCCACCTTCTCGCGTGTTTATCTCTATTCAAGTCACTGAAGAAATGGAAATTAATGCTACATATGTTTGTTTATTTAACAATTCTGACTCTTTTTTTTCTCTCAGTGAACCACATTCAGATATCTATGATAAATAAAACATAACTAATTTATGAATTAAACATATTTAAAGACTATCTAGTAAAATATTATTTACTAGATTACATACTAAAATATCAAAATGTACTATGTTTGTTTGGCTAGCGCACTTGCTGTTCTTTAGGTGAACAATTAATGTTGTCTGATGAGTGGGCCAAGTATGGAGCAAAATCAATGCCAAAAGTATTGAATTAAAAAACTTAGCACAAACTGAAAAATAATAAACCGAATTAACAAGTTCTTGCATTTTAATGACTTGAATTGCATGGTTTGTACTTTTAGGTCCTGAAATTTAACATAGCTGTATATTTAAGCTGTGAATATTTTAAGAAAAAATATTTATATTTTAGACACGTTTTCGTACTTGTAAATTGAATCATTCATATTCAATTTCAATTTTCATATTCATATTCACTTTCCAGGTTTCACTTACAAAATAGTCAATACCCTTTAAAAAGACGATGTATAATATTCAAAAGGCAATTTTCCGTTCATTTTATTTCAGCTCAAATATGCGCTTTCATAAATTCAGTGGCTATAATTTGACTGTTAGAATTCGACCAAAGAGCATAGAATCACTAGCATGGTTCAGGCTCAGGCGTTTTTTGCACTCACACATAAGCGTACTGTGCCAAAGCCCAAGTGTACTGTGCTCCACCCAGTGGCGTAGCGCAAAATGCGGAGGCCCCCCTGCAGGGATCACTGACGGGGCTCCCTGATGGGGGGGGGGGGGGGGGGGGGGGGTGGGGAGACAACACGGGTAAGCAATCACAAATTGAGGAGCGGGGAAGGGAGGCGGGGTGGAGCGACAACGCGGGGAAGCCTTCACAAACTGAGGAGCGATCACAAACCGAAAGCGGCAAGAGCGCCAAAGTAGCCAGAAGTAGAAGAAACAACGCGACGCGTCTTCTCCTGTGTGGGCGTCGAGGAGAGTTGAAATCATGTACACTGGAAAACACCCATACACACTCTTTTAAACACAAACACTACAGCCAATTTAGCAATTTGCTCTCTGCCACTGACTGGGAGAACATGCAAACTCTACATAGAAATGCTAACTGACCCAGCCGGGCCTGAACTAGCGACCTTCTTGCTGTGAGGAGATCATGCTACCCACTGCGCTCCCATGACACCCCAAATTCATTTCAAATGAAATATTTTCGAATGCTCAAATAACTATTTTAAGCAATGTGAAAAGTTTCAAGTGGGCCAAATATTGTACAAAGAGCCCAGAAAGGTAAAAGCTACTAACATTGACATTTAAATTTTTCTAACTTCTAAATCAATTTAATACTTTCTAATCTTTGAAGATCGCTCCAAATCTTTCAGGCCTTTCTTTAAATATTATATACTCAGAACTATGTTTTAATTATTTATAGCCTGACAATTTTAACATCTGTATAATTAATAATACTACAAATAACATCACGTTTGCCAGTGGTAGCCAATGGGCTCGGGAACCTTTAGGGCTTCCAACTTATAACATGGCTTCAAATCAATTCAAATAAAATTTGAAAACAACCATGTGCGATTAACACGCAAACGTTTTATGATTATTAGGGATGTATAGATCCGATCACGTGATCGGAAATCGGGCCTGATCACGCGGTTTCAGACTTGATCGGAATTGGACGTTACCTTCTGATCAGGACTCAAATATATATGTATATATTCTCATTATTTTAGCACATCTGTGGCTATGCAGTAGCACACAGAAACAGCACCGTGTGCAGCATGACATCACTTTGTTGCAAAGACGCTATTGGTTAATGTATTCCGGCATATAGACTGGACATCTGTACCTGGGATTGCCTTATTATGTCTCTGAGTGTGCTGCGTTAATGCATGAGTAAGGCTTGGTGCAAACCAATCAGCGCGCTCTATTGTGCAACTTCATTATTATTCATTATTGTTACAGTGTTCAGACAGCAGTGAGAAGCTACGTTGTGTTGCCAAAACAAGCGTGCAGTGTTGCTTTTATAATTTGCTGCAGGTTTTGTTTTCATTTTAGCACAAATAGACTCACGTGTGGATTACAGTGCACGCGACGCTCGAAAACAATACGTGTCTAAGGAACATTGTTTACCCGAGAGCTTTTCTCATCTGGAAATGGTGAGATGCGGATTTGCTGCTCGTCTCCTCTTAACAAAGACGCGGCTCTAGTTGCTGTTGATTGTCCTGTCTCTACAGATTTGGTAAGTGAGCGAACAGTGGTCTTTGTTTATTCAGATGGCAAAGTTCGTATCGAACTATTACACTGAGTTAGCACATGTTAGCACCACAATTAAACTTACCATCATGTAGGATCTTAATACACGGGATAACACACGGCTTTCTGACGCTACCTGCCGAGTGCATCCAAGTTTCTGCGAAATGCGGAGGATTTTTTTCCCTCTAATTCACCGTGCAGTATCAAACACTACATGAAAAATACACGCTTACAGCAATTACTCGAATCAAATATCTCGTTTGTCACGAGGGGCATGAATGAATTCCCTGAATGAAAGAATCAAACTGCAGGTAAAGTCCACTATTTAATAATTTGGCAAATAATTTGATTACTGACGTCCAGGTAAACACAGTCACTGTCCTTCTCCCCTCTGTGTGTGTTTTGACTCTGAAAATAAGGTTGTGCCCAAATCGACACTCCCATTTTTATGCAAATCTTTACAGACCCTCCCTCTTTTGATCCTCAGACACTCCCCCCTAAACAGAGCTGGACACGCCCACTGTCTTGACTTTTTCCTAAGTAGAGGTGTGAAAACACCCTGCTTAAACAAGGGCATGGGCGGACTGGCTATCTGGCAATTCTGGCAAATGCCAGAGGGGCCGGACCATTTTTTAAATGTGGACTGGTCAGTTTTTTTTTTATTTTTTATATGTATTGTATTTAAGTGCAGACAGCTTTTATCTCTTGCTAGATGTGATATTATGATGATGATAATAAAAATAATAATAATAAATTTTAGGCATTTGGCCAAATCGGCAACTGCTGCCTGGTTTCAAGATGCGCCGACCCAATCCGAGGTTACCCGGACATATTCAAAATCTGGCAAGAATGTCATATTATTTTACCATCTTTACACCAAAATAAATAGTGAATGTGCGTGTCTGTGGGTGGGGCCGTGTCGGTGTGGTAATGTGGGCTGGTGTGGCTACAGTGCCAGGGCTGAATTTTTATCCCAGTCCGCCCCTGAACAAGGGGGTTTCATGGCCCTTTAAATATGATGGATCCCCTAATATATATGTTAATTGTTTTTGTTTAATGTATGTTCTGCATCACTAAGTTTTGTATGACTGTTACATATGTTATCATTTAATCCTGTATGCTTGTCAGTTATATGGTTCAATAAAAATAAAAAAGAACCGGCACAGTTCAGTGACAGACTGAAAGGATCCTGTTCGCAAGCCAATCAATTATTTAACGGTGTGATTTATTTCAACCTGGCAACATATTTAGCTTTTTAACAAACGCTGGCTGTAATTTCTGCCTTTACCCTACTGCCTATTCATAATGACGACGTGATGACGATTTGATACCCACCTTACATGGACCTGCAGTTGACGTATGCGTTTCAACATACAGTTCATAAAGCTTGTGCCAACTGTACTTTAAACCTACCGTGCAGCGACGACTAGATTCACACGCTACTGATCAAACACAAGAACAAGCATTTGCAGTTAAATTTGCGGGTCGAATTTAAAGTCGCGTGTGAATCTAATGGTCGCTGCAAGATAGATTTAAAGTACAGTGTGGTATTTTAAACAAACGTTGCTTTACAAAACATACATAAAACACGTGCATATACCTAAATTATTCACTGCACGCATGCACTTTTGTAGCATAAACACAAACAATCTAGTTTATATCTATGTGCGTGTGTTAATGTGAGTGTTTTTGCTAGGATCGAGTTTGTATAAGGGACTATGCATCAAGTTATAGGCAAGTTTCATATTGTTTTGAACATTTAATAGTATTGGTGTATGAGTTTGTGTATGCACGTGTTTTATGTGTGTGTGCTGTACAGTTTGTTAAAGTCACGAACAAACGTTTGTAGTACTGACATGTTTTAAAGTGAAATAACTTCACTTATAAGGTCTACCTTGAACTATTTGCTGGGAAAACTATGTCTGGAAATTGTCACCACAAGGGGCCAGTGGCGCAATGGATAACGCGTCTGACTACGGATCAGAAGATTCTAGGTTCGACTCCTGGCTGGCTCGACTCTTTTGAACTTTGATTCTCGAGTCGTTTCACATCGTCCCTTACGTTACATAGACTAGCATTGCAGTGAGTAAATATACATGACACACCTATAAATGTAGTCGAAGGTTTATATCTGGGTCAACATTAAAACCCGGGTGTGTTTGTTGGACTTTGACTGAAATGAAACTCATCTTTGTTCAAAAGTTCAAGAAGATAAAAACATCAAGAAAATAAAGCTTTCAGATGTATGGGTAATTCTTCATCTACGGGCCCTTTTATGTCCTTTGATCATTTAAAAATTTGACCAAAAAATATATAATTTTGCTCAAATTCCTTTTTCTTTGTCAAACTAATAATAAAACTTACTTTTTAAAAAATTACTAGCTTTCTATTATATTTTTTCATATTATTCAACCTCCTTTTAGGTGTCAAAATCACTGTTTTCACCTTGCCGCACACCCAGAGTTTTAAACGTCAACAATGAAAATAACATTTTAAAATATTATTTTTTTTGCTGTCTATTCATGTATCTTAATTAAGCACTAGTGAAATAATTTAAATATTTTATAGTTATTAATGTGATTATTATCAATATTATTTTTATACAAAA